TATTTATTTTTAAATCATAATAAATGATTAAACAACAGCAACCACAACAACTTAAGGCACAGACCATTACATACGCCATATATGCATATAATTCAAAGACGGCAGAACAAACGCAAAGGTTGAAATATGGAGATTTGGAGATAGTATTGAAAAATGACCATTTCGAATTCGTTTGCAAAGGTGGTGCAGTGATATCAAATATAAAAGAAATTTTATTTATGAATTCAAAAATTAAAGGTATAACGGATGATATAACATCAATTCCACCAGAAGAACAAAGATATTACGCATTAAATGCATTTCCTAAAGTTTTGAAGATTGGAAGATTTAATTTAAATGAGGAATTCATAAAAGGTTTCCTAAATGACATAATGAAGAAAGCAGATAAGGAATATGTGGTAAGTGAATTAATGAAGAAAGCAGATAAGGAATATGTGGTTAGTGAATTAATGAAGAAAGCAGATAAGGGACTTGTGGCTAGTGCATTAATGAAGAAGGCAGATAAGGAATATGTTAATGAAAAAGATAATGAAATTATAGAAAGGGTTGAATGGTATCATGAACGGACATCGAAGATTCTTAAAATTAAAGCTGATACAGGATGGGTTTCAGAATGTTTAGACCTTAAAGCAGATAAAACTTATGTTAACAATGAGTTAGAGAAGAAGGCAGATAAGAACCATACACATACAAGTTTTACAACTGTTGCTATAGAAAGTATTGAAGGAACGGTTGAAGAAACTGGTGGGGATGTATTATATTGTAAACCTCCTAACTTTCCACAAGGTTTAACATCGGATGACAACATAACGACGATGAGAAACATTAGATGTAAAGATGTTTATGTCATGAAGGATGAAGATAATATTAAATTCACTGCTCAAGATTTATATGACAAGAAAGCAGACAAAAAAGAGCTTCAAACATTAAAGACAGAAATACTTCAAACATTATATCCTATAGGCTCTATTTATACGTCAATGAACTCAACAAATCCAGCAACAGTTCTGGGTTTCGGTACGTGGGAACAAATAGTTGACAGGTTTTTGTATTGTGCAAACTCTTCAAAGGAAACAGGAGGAAGTAAAACGATTTCAGGTGAAAATTTACCTGCACATAGTCACTACATAGATTTAAGTACATCTCAAGCGGGTTGGCATAAGCATAGATATTGGGATTGGTCAGCAATGATAAAAGGTAAAGGATATGATGTTAAAGACAACGTTAAGTTTGCTATAGATTGTTACTGGAGTAACACTGAGGGAGGAGGAAACCATACACATCGCGTTTCAGGATATACACAAACAACGGGACAAAGTAAAGATTACATGCCGCCATTTATGACAGTTTACGCATGGTATAGAGTTCAATGAATGAACTAAATATATTTTATGTCTGTAATTAATTAGGTAATGAAGTAATGGATGAACTGCAGAAATAAATGGTTACGTTAATGGTTACGTTAATGGTTACGTTAATGTTTTCAGGTCATTCAAAAATAATTAATTATTGAATAACCTAAAAACATTAACGATAAAATAAGTGATAACAAATTTTTATTTTTATCATAAATGAATACCCCACAAGCTCAAAATTTACCACGAATCATAACAAGGGAGGAAATGATAAAAATGATGCGAGAACTTGCTAAAAATAACAAACCACTAAAATTGAGAAAATGTGGTTATGCAGTAATGATGGAAAGAGAGACGTTGTCGAAGAGGAATAAAAATTAAATTTGGATTGAGTTTAAAAATTCATCTTTATTAAATTCATCTCTTCCAATCAATTTATTTATTTTATTAAATTCTTTTATTTTTGCTTCACTCAGTTTAATGATTGAACGATAAGTTTCTAATTTTTCGATTATTTCTTTATCGTTTTCAACCCCACCGCATTGCGACTTCTTTTTGTAATAGCATATTTTTGATTTAATTCTGTTTAGTTTCTTTTTATATTCATTGTCTGGACTCTTGACTGCTTTGTTGTCACTCATTTTCTTACGAAATAAAAAAATTAAATATTATTTAAATATAATGGAGTAATAAAATAAATCGGAATTTCTATTAATTTATTGTTAACCTCAACTAATGCATTGCCGTTAATATATCTAACAAACTCAGCTATTGTGTCAAATCTTCGTCTTCTTTTTGTCATTGATTTATCAGTTTTTCCATAATCGAGATGAATTAAAACTTTATTCCCTTGTTTAAAATTCATGAGCCCCGAATTAATTTGTTCACGTTTAACATCATTTAACCTTTCCATTTGCTTTCTAATATATTCCCATTCTTTTGAAATATCATTTTTCATTTCCACTGGTTTCATGTTTATAGTTCTATGCCATGTATTATTGTAATAATATACTAACTGCTGTATGATGGAGTCATGATTTCCATCCCAGTATATCTGACCGTTAACCCCTAACGCATCTCTAAGAGTTCTCATTACCGCATCAACTATTTTATTATGAAACGTATATGGAGAGGATGAAAAGTAAAAATTAATTTGTGGGAAATAATGAGTCATAGCTGCCTGAAATCCTTTATCACCATCACCCCTATATTATCTACTCTTTCATGATCTAGTAAGTATTGAATAGCTCTTCTTGTTTCCTGTTCTGTTTTCCCTTTCACCGGAATGCAATATAAATATCTGGTGTTAATGTTAATGGCAAATAAATAAGTAACGTTTCCTTTTGAATATTCCAGATGATCGATTTCGTATGAATATGGATATAGTGCAAATGAAGGGCGACTAAATTTTTCCTTTAACGGTTGAATTTTTGGGTCAATTGGTTTATTTAATATCTTGAAATCCTTTTAAAATCTTTTTGCTTCTTTAATGTTTGAAATGGATATAATAAAGTGAATGATGAAGGATTAACTGAAGGAGGAGGAGTACTACTGTTGGAGGTTTTGGTGTTGTAAGTGGTTTAATTTTATCTGCTTTGATTTTGGATTTCATTCCTCCTTTCATTAATTCTGGATGTATTCTATTCATTTGTTTTAAATATGCTGTATATAAAGGTTTGATATACTTTCCCGCTTCGAGTTTATGTTGAAGGATGAATTCCAAAAGTTGATCTTCATTTAAAAGTCGGGCTGAATATGGTTTAACTAATGAATCATAAATTAAAGCTTGTGCATCATTTATGGTCTGAAGGACCTGGGCGTTTTGTACCATTTGTTTTTGTTCCTTTGGCTTTTGCGGCTCAGGATTATATAATTTATATAATTCATCAATATCTTCTTCTGTTAATACTTTATTTTTGAAATCTTTCAACTGTTTAAGTTGTGATTTAGTTTTTTCCTTTGTATATTCATTATTTTTAATTTTGTCTTTAATTTTAGAAATTATTTTATCATGATATTTCAAAACTTCATTTTTATAATACGGATAATAATAATCCATATCATCACCCGTTATATTGTTATCATATTTTTGGAGATATGATTTTAATTCATAATAATTAAGAAAATTTTGATTAAGTACTAAATCATCAATTAAAATTTTTAAATCTGTGTTATCCATTTATATAAAAATAAAATAAATGTTTAAGGGTGCCCACCTCTTTGAATCATAGTATCAAAACCATCATTAACGGTTCCTTTTGTCTCTTCTGTGGCATTTCATTAAAAATAAATTATTCAAAATTGTATTAAATAAATGGTATACAACATCCATTTTCACAACATACAGCCTTAGTGTGTGCTCCTGTTAATGCAGTCTTACCGATTGTTAAGCGAGTCATTGACCTGTTTTTAAGTTGTAAATTAATATTCTGACCATCAAATATCACTTTATCATTTATTATATCCAAATAATTTTTAGGTGTTAATTGCTTATTTTGTCGTAAACTAACACCTTTCATTTTTTGTGCAATCTTTTTAAAATCACCCCCATCAATTGAACCGTTGAATGATGTATAACACTTAGGACATAAAGCAACCATGTTATCACCTTGTTTCTCAATTGCTAAACCCAATAACTTCTTCTCATGTGCTTTTTCTTCAGCTTTATTCTTTAATTTAGGTTTAAATTTCTCATCAAAACAGAAGAAATCAAAAGGTGCGAATTTGAAAATGTTTTTATCATAAAATTGTTTATCGGTAACAATTGCTTGAAATGCTTGAGTGTTAGGAAGATTTGGTCGCCAGCAATGCCCAATAAGATGAATCGGTATCACCTTCAATGAAATGAAAACGATTAAGATTCATGCATTTATACATAAAATCATAAATGAAAACTAAATACCAGTATTTTGCATTATCTAAAGTAAAAAATGCCTCTTGTAAACATGTATCACATCTATAAAATCTATCTTTGAGCATCACTTGATACGTATCCTCTTCCTATTTCTCTTATGTTTTTAAACTTATTTGACATACATGCAACGCGTGCCTCTGTGCATTCATTATTTTAGTCTTTGCGTAATTTTGTGTATTCATTGCATCGTAACCATATGATCCATTAAGTGAAATTTGCAAAATAAACTTTTTCCTTTATTTCCTTCTAATTCAGCCTTTTGTCTTTCGTTCATAAATTTGTTCGCAAATTCATTAAAGCAAGTGTTTTTCGTAAATGTTAAAATTGATTGAATATCATCAATGATAAAATGAAATCTGTCTATTAGATACCATAGATAATAAGAAGAAAATGGTTGATATTGGTTGTGTGTTGATGCTAATTGAGTTAATTTCCTCTGTTTCTGGTCAACTGGTAGATTGTTTGATTTCATGTAATTATACATAAAACTGCCAATTGTTTTTTCATCTGTGATAATATCTAAGTTTCTTATTATCGGTAAAAAGTTTATGTAATCATTAATGTATTTTTCATCAATGTGACCCTTTACTTCAGCCACGAATAAAGTATTTCTCTTCTTAATTATTCCCAGTGCTTTTGCTTTCTTTGTTGCTGTATCACAAATGATAACACCATTCAATCTTCCCGGCATATACATTTTATGGTCAGTATATTGAATGAAATCATGAGGATTAGATGAAAATGATGAAGGATATAATGAATTAAAATCAACACCAACGAAATGAGTCATAATGTTGGTGGTGTCCTCATTTGATACAGTTTTAGTTTCTGGATTATATGAAAGTTTATTAATGTGCGTGATTCCTTTAAGATTAACACGATGTTGAACATTTGATAGACCACCAGTAATTCCATTACGGAGAATGTGATAAGCTTCAACTGAATCTAAAGTCATTGGTAAATTATTTTTTAATGCGTAATTTCTTAAATTGATTCTTAAACGTTGAACATCTTCATCTTTATTTGATTTTACGACATTGCAATAACAACACATTAACTGACAATTTTCTTTGGTATGTGGTTTTTCATTATCGATTCTATCCAATGTTGGTTTATTTGCATATGTAAACGCTTTACCACACATTTTGCATTTAGATGAAAGGATTAAATCGTGATAGTATTGAAAATCATCCATTGAAACATTATTTTTAGTATCCCTTTCTGCTTTTTCATCTTGTTTCTTATATGATTCAATTTTATATTTCCAATACTTTTTCGTTAATTCAAAACTTGATTCTATCTCTTCCTCAGGATATTTTTCATTAGGATTAAAGTCTTTATATGCTAAAGCGTAACGAATCATTGAAGCATTCGATGATAAAGAAAGATTATGAAGCATGTCAATTTTATAAACAAATGTTTCTTCAATAATTTTATCAATTGGGTCAATCATAATTTCAACATCTTTATTGCAATAATGAATAAAATATTCTAATCTATTCTTAAAATTTTTAGCATCATTGAGATATATTTGATAATCACTATCTGATATAGTTTCTTGGGTTAATGCTGAATAAAATGAATCTTGAGTGAATGGTTCCTCTTTATATAATTCTTCTTCGTAATTCTCCCATGTGATGAATTGATAAGGGAAAAAGGATTTAACACGTGATTTATTGTTTCCGAAATCTTGAGTGAATTGGTCTAATGTCCCACCCGCTATATAATTTCTGATGTCAATAAATCTCAATTCATATGGAACGTTTGTTTTCTTTACAATGATTTGCTTAAATTGAGAAGAAGAACCCAGCATTGATTTTATTTTCCATTTTGCAGTGTTTAAATCACGAAGAATTAAATTTAAATCAAACTTTCCCGAATTAAAACCTATGATATTCACTTTATTGAATTCCTCATCTAGAAGTTCTTTAAATGCTTCCTTCTGTTTTTCATTTAATGTTTGGTCTGAAAGACCTTCAGGACTCAAAGAGTCCGTTTGCGGCTTCATTAATTCTTCATATTGTTCAATATTTGATTTAGCAACTAATGAACAGGTTGAAAATAAAAACTCAATCCAATCAGAAATAAAAGAATCACTCGAAGTTAAGCAAAAATTCCTCGTATATGTTTTATCATTTAATTTAACCGTTGATGATACCATGAATGGTTTTAAGTAAGCGTTCAAAGTTGCACACTCAGAAAGTTGTAATTCTTCTTTAGTCTCTAATGTTTCGAAGTCAAAAGTAATATAATATCTTGTCGGTTGATAATATTCCTGCAAATTATGAGCTAATAACCACTGATATATCTTCTGTTTCGTAATATGTGGTGCATATGGTTGCTGGGTCTTTTGCAATTGAACGTCTTGAATTAATCTTCCATTATTTTCTTTACATTTCTCACAATGCTTTAAAAATCTTCTTTGGTTTTTCCTTTCTGGATCATCACGGATAGAATAAACTTCTTCTTTACAATATGGACAAACTCTATAGCCGGTGAGTGCTTCAACGTCTGTTATTCTGTCAGCGTGAAGTTTTCCACATGGACTCTGTGTTAATAAAATATTTACTGTTTCAAATTCTGGATCTATCATTATTGATTCCACTAATGGAAAGTCTACCTTATTTATGTCCACGTCTTCTGGTTGAGGATCACAATAATAGAAATCAATATTAACATTTAACATTCTCGCTAATCTCTCACTTTCTGATGAAATGTCAAACCCTTCATATGAATCTATTGCTTCATTTAAATAGCTTCTACGAGTTTTAGGATTAACACCATCAGGAATGTTATAGAAGCGTTTAAATAACCTTCTACCTTCTGCTCTAATTTGATTATCATTCATTTTAGCTGTTCCGTTTTTGTTCATTTATGTAAGAATAAAAAATTAAAAAATAAATAAAAATAAAGTTTATTTTTTAAAGCCCATAAAATGAATTAAGAACACATAAATTTTTATCATCTGCGACGTGACGAATACATTTTAATTTACTCAAGAATGCGTACCCTGACACATTAAATCTAATTCCTGTCTTATTTAATTTCACAACTTTGAAAAGGAATGTATGAATAGCTATAAAATGATGAGAAGATGTTTTATGGGTTGCTTCCATTTTTTCTGAAATAAATGAATAAATATAATGTTTATAAGTTTTCATATCTTTTATATTCTTAATAACGAATGGTATAGACCTTTCCACTTCGTCTTCCTTCGGTGCTGTTCTTTCATATGAAACATTATTAGTATCTTCAATAATGAAACCACAATCACATAAAATTTTATATGTTCCAATGGTTTCTTTTGATATTTTATCTAATAAATCAAAAACTTTATCAACACCTGTGCATTTATTTAAATAATAATTTGTGTAAATATCATGATCTTCTTTCTTAATCGTATTAGTTGCATATGTCACGTTTTTAAGAGCTTTTTTGAATTTTTCGGAATCTAAAGGTGGTGAAAGTAGGATACAGGGGTATTTTTCATTATCAATAAATTGTAACTTATGTTTACGTATAAATTTAGTACCTTCTTCTGAAAGTGTTTCATCTATTTCGCCATCTAATAAATTTTGTGTTGATTCTGAGACATAATTTTTATATCTTTCTTCATGAGATTTCTGAACTGCTGATTCTGAAGCTGGGATATTCATTAAACCCTCTACTTCATTTTCATTATATTTTTCAACTTCTCTTAATTCCTTAATTTTTTCATCTATTTCATCTCTTATTTTTTCCAGTCTTTCAATTTCATCGTATTCATCATCTTTAATCCGTTCTTCATAATATTCAGGGAAAACATCAGGTTCTTTAGGTTTTTCTTCTTCAGATGTGGGATATAAGAAATTTATAACATCATCTTTATTCATTTTTCCATCATAATCTAAATCATTTAATAACTCGGCAAATTTTTGACAATTTCTTAAATAATATTTACTAACTTCATAACACATCTCATCTAATATATCCTTTATTTCCTCGTTTGTGAATCCTAATTTTTTAACGTTGTTAGTTTTGACGCTCATTTCATACAAAATAAAAAAATAAAATAATAAACATAACTAAGTTTCTAATTTTTCGTAAGAAGTTTATTTTTTATTCATGAAAATAATTATTTCTAATTTCTTTTACTCTCTCGTATATACTAGATTTAAAGAATTCAGAACTTTTACCATAATCTCCTAAATGTTTTCTTATCCCTAACGTGTGCCAGTTATTATATGAAACTGAATAAACTTTATCTTTATCTTTACACCTTTCATCACTTCCAATATATTTATATTTCAATTTTGATTTAGCATTTTCATATTCATTAGCGTTTAATAATTCACAGTCTTCCTTTTTAAATAAATGTTTAAGATATTCAGGATTTAATACTCTACGTTTATATGCTCCTAACTTAGTTCTAAAGGTTTTTCTACAAAATTTAGGAATTCCATCCTCTTTAATGTCATCAATGATTTCCATTTCATTATTTTCAATTTCTTCTTCTCGTTTATGAGGTCTTTGATTATGACTCCATTGATTCCATGAAATTAAATATTCTTTATCATTATATTTATACCTCATTAGCTTATTTTGGCTTTCATATTCATTTAATAATTCACAATCTTCATTTTTAAATTGAAGTTTAACCCATTCAGGATTTAAACAATGTTTAATTAATCGCGGAATATCTGACATCATCTATATATAGCTTCTTTTATAAAAGATAAAAAATAAATTATTTTAAAATTAATGTTAATTTTTTAATGTGTTTAGTATATAATATTTATTACTAATTTATTTAATAATGTCGCGCTTTCTTACGAATTCATGACTTAAAAAACGTAAGAAAAAATTTTTATATCATCTATATATAGAAGATGTGAAAATATACCTTCATCTATATATAGACGTAACAAAAAAAGTCACACAACCCTTCCTATCCTACTACTCCCCTCCCTGTTTTTGATGTTTTGTCACTTTTTCGGTAATTCTTATTGTTTCTTATGGGTGTTTCTCTATTTATCCTTGACCTCCATATCAGTCTTGCAATCAGTCTCACTGCTGGTTTCGTTGCAACTGGCGCTTTTGTTCACATTTTATACACACTTCTCAGAAATCTCTCAAATTTGGTTGAACTGAAGTCAGAAACGTCAGACCAAACATCAATTCTCAAAATTAGACTGGCATTTCGTGCGACTCTTACTTGGGTTTGTTCACTGATTATTTGTCTTTTTGCTGCACCACAGGAAATCGGTCAGAACCTTCTTTTAGGACTGGCAACATCACGTGCTGCCCAAAATGGAGGCTTATGCTTCATATTCTCATTTTCTGGTGGATATTCAGTAGAAGATGAGATCAAAAATGACAACGATCTAGTATACATCGAAGAACCTACATGCGAGAAGTCGTTAAGCTTCATTGCAGCTGAAACTGCCTAATTGAAATCTCTATCCTTTTGTTAACTCATAAATGTTTGAACTTTCTATCTTAATTTATCATGTTTTTGACTACGATGGCTCGAAACGAACTCGAAATTTTAAATATCGAAAGCCATATAAAGGAAATCATTATGAAATTGACTCATTCTATGGTATGAATGTATTGAAATGTTGAAACATAGTGAAATCAATGATATTGATGATCCGAAATTCGGATTCGATAAAAAATCTATTGTCATTATTCGTATATCATTAACATATTGCTAATAATAAGACATATTCGTAATATGTGAATGAAGATCTTCCTAAAAATAAAGTTAAAATCTTCTTTGCCAAACAATGAAAATTAAAAAATACAAACATAGTTTTACATGATTAGTAGCGCAATAGCAGTTAGTGATTCCATGACTTCTGACGACGTTGTAGGATTGTTGTTGCTGGAGCAAGCGGAGCTTGATCAGTCGGTGGTGGAATTCCACTCAATATTGTTTGAAATTGTACGCTGAAAAATGTATAGTCTTCGTCTGAAAATTCTAATGAGTGTGAATCGTATCTCGCGGTATTAAAGAAGCTTATATAATTTTCTGCAATTTCTGTTGAAAATGATATGCCTTCTTGTTCTTGAAGCCAATTTATATAATCTTGTGCTGTCATTGATGGACTTCTAGCATAATTAGCATCAAATTGTGATGCCGCTTCTTCAATTTTCTTCAAACTTGAGCATATTTCATTTCGAATAGAAATAACTCCTGTTTCTGTTTTGATAAATCCTGATGCAAGATGATCTTTTTGGGGTAGGGGAACGACAGTAGAACGTTTTTCCCATACACTTGCAATCATTGGTTCTAGTTTCCCTAGATCTTCTTGCGTTACCCGTAGTTTTGGTTCCATAATTTCTTTTTCTAGATTTTTTAGAATTTTGCTCCTTATGGAAGCAAGAGCAAGAAATGCAACAACGAATACAAATATGGATATAAATATCAAGATAATCCAAATGACAACGCCTCCGACAACACCTAAGGAACTCATTTACGAATAAAAAGTGAACTCATTTATCATGTAAAATTCAGTTTATCTTTGGTAATATGGAGGGTTGTATTGTCCTATCAATAAACAACTTTAGATTTGAACAAAAACTAAATCGTGCAACGATTATTGTAAAAAATTATAATTTGAAACTAATTTTATATTCATTCTTTTAGAATTCATATCGCTCTTTTACGATTTGTCATTAAAATTGTTTAATTCCTTTTAGAACATACATGTTATAGACCGAAAATAGATTTTTTCGGTTTTCTCTTCAAATAATTGAAAGAATGATACTATTATATGTTTATTATATTATATAGCATATAATCATGCTATAGCCGAAAATTATAAGTTTTGAGAAGATTGAATATAACACAAATAAATTTGAATGTAAGTTAAATTGCTTGTTGTTTTTAATAGCTATTTAATGAGAAATCCAATATTGCAAAATTCAAATTGAATGATTGAAAGAACAGAAAAAGTCATTCTTTTCAATTTCGAATATGTTTCATTGTATTTATAATTATATGGCAAATAAGATATTTAAACTTGATTTTTGAAGGAAAATTCACAAAATTGAATAAATTCAAATAATTTTTATTCAAAAATAAACTAGTTATTTGAGTTTAATACCAATTATCTATTCAAACTACAAAGTTTGTAATTTAAAATATTTTGTGAGATCAGATTGAATTAATTCAAGGTTCTTTTCAATTAATATTAATGACCATATTACGCATTTTCGAACATTCTAAACCAAATATATAAAAATGGGAGAAGAATGTTAAATTTGCTAGACATGGGGGAGTTGTCTGCAAAGTTTTAGCTCTTATCTCTAACAAAAAATTAATTTTTAAAAAAAAGACCGAATACGTTTCACAGCGAGAAAAAAATAAAAGGCAAGATAGAATTTTCTAGACATAAAGAAGTTGTTTACCGAGTTTTAGCTCTTATCTCTAACAAAAAATTAATTTTTAAAAAAAAGACCGAATACGTTTCACAGCGAGAAAAAAAAAAGGCAAGATAGAATTTTCTAGACATAAAGAAGTTGTTTACCGAGTTTTAGCTCTTATCTCTAACAAAAAATTAATTTTTAAAAAAAAGACCGAATACGTTTCACAGCGAGAAAAAAATAAAAGGCAAGATAGAATTTTCTAGACATAAAGAAGTTGTTTACCGAGTTTTAGCTCTTATCTCTAACAAAAAATTAATTTTTAAAAAAAAGACCGAATACGTTTCACAGCGAGAAAAAAAAAAAAGGCAAGATAGAATTTTCTAGACATAAAGAAGTTGTTTACCGAGTTTTAGCTCTTATCTCTAACAAAAAATTAATTTTTAAAAAAAAGACCGAATACGTTTCACAGCGAGAAAAAAATAAAAGGCAAGATAGAATTTTCTAGACATAAAGAAGTTGTTTACCGAGTTTTAGCTCTTATCTCTAACAAAAAATTAATTTTTAAAAAAAAGACCGAATACGTTTCACAGCGAGAAAAAAATAAAAGGCAAGATAGAATTTTCTAGACATAAAGAAGTTGTTTACCGAGTTTTAGCTCTTATCTCTAACAAAAAATTAATTTTTAAAAAAAAGACCGAATACGTTTCACAGCGAGAAAAAAATAAAAGGCAAGATAGAATTTTCTAGACATAAAGAAGTTGTTTACCGAGTTTTAGCTCTTATCTCTAACAAAAAATTAATTTTTAAAAAAAAAGACCGAATACGTTTCACAGCGAGAAAAAAAATAAAACTGTACACTGATTTTCATTTTCATTTCCAGTCACTTTACTTATTATTTTTTCTTTTTTTCATTTTAATTATAAATTATTTCATAATACGTTTATTTACGTTACCATTTTCTTTATTCTTTTGAATTCCATACTAGACACTTATAGGATATTTTGATTGTTAACGTACTTCATTAGAATGAATCCTTACAAAGGGTATGTCGATCGAATTTACCTAATTGGTATTTCCAATCAGATTGAAGAAGGTAAAATGACATGGGAAGAAGCTTGCACCCATGTTCCCATCGCCCCAACCCTTCAATCAAATGATTTCAAATATTGAGATGTTTCAAAATCTTTTTTACAAAATCAATTTAGCTTACAGAATATCCCATTGCCTAAAGGCAAGAAAGGTCGTAGGGTCAATCCTACGACTAATCAAAGCTCTTGCTGTGATACATGACCACTGGCCTTTCCCTGTGGTCAAACAAAACAATGGAAACGTTTGAAATTACAACAAATTGATGTATCTTATAGAGAAGTACGCAGATACTTCAAAGAAAATCATTTCACCAAGACGCGATTAGAGCATGCCGGGCCAGAAACAGCAGTAAGATATTGGGCGCTTTCACCCAATCTTATCTGGCACGCAGATGTTCATTATTTTAGGGGTGTTCGTGGCCAGTATATTTATGGCATAATCGACGATTTTAGCCGCAAAGTCCTAGCGTGTATACAAATACCAGATATGCTGGCAGCGACGACAGCGAACGTTGCGGCTTCCGCCTTCATTGAATTTGGCGCCCCTTATTGTTTCTGGACCGACAACGGTTCAGAAAATAGGGGCGCCTTTCAAGATCTACTTGATCTTTGGGGCGTCCAATGGCAGCATACAGACTCTCATTCTCCCTACCAAAATGGGAAGATTGAGAGATTCTGGCCGACATTGGAGCGCTGCCAAAGCATTCAGGCTATTCCTGCCTTTATTTGGGAGTACAATAATAACACCCGCATGAAGATCTCCCAATTAATCCATTAACTGGAACAAATTACACGCCAAATCAAATGTATCAGCTGAAACCGAAATACACAAATGCAGATACAGAAAGGTTGTGGCAAATATGGGATACAGATACAGGCATGACCGCTGTTGACACATTCACAGCGTAATAATAAACATAATTTTTTAATTTCATTTTTAACAAGTTTTTTTAAATGTATGTAATGAATAATTCATTAGAATATGATAATGCACATTGTAACAGAATAGAACAATCACCAAATTTTTTTTGAAATTAAAAAATAAAAGTAAAAAGTATAAAGTAATCTAACCAAAAAAGATATTTAAAAGAATTTTGGAAAAAACAGAATAAGGATAATGATATTATTTTAGATACACAATCGATGTACTGAAGAATAATCCGGTAAAATGATGATATAAAATTAGATTATTTTACAAGTAGCTAAAAGAATAAAACTATAATATAAAATAAATGAAGTTTAATGAAACAATAAAGGGTAAATAAATAATAAAGATTTTTATTTTATATCAGTATTGAGAAGAAGTAACAGCTGATACTTGGTAAACAACTTCTTTATGTCTAGAAAATTCTATCTTGCCTTTTATTTTTTTCTCGCTGTGAAACGTATTCGGTCTTTTTTTTAAAAATTAATTTTTTGTTAGAGATAAGAGCTAAAACTCGGTAAACAACTTCTTTATGTCTAGAAAATTCTATCTTGCCTTTTATTTTTTTCTCGCTGTGAAACGTATTCGGTCTTTTTTTTAAAAATTAATTTTTTGTTAGAGATAAGAGCTAAAACTCGGTAAACAACTTCTTTATGTCTAGAAAATTCTATCTTGCCTTTTATTTTTTTCTCGCTGTGAAACGTATTCGGTCTTTTTTTTAAAAATTAATTTTTTGTTAGAGATAAGAGCTAAAACTCGGTAAACAACTTCTTTATGTCTAGAAAATTCTATCTTGCCTTTTATTTTTTTTCTCGCTGTGAAACGTATTCGGTCTTTTTTTTAAAAATTAATTTTTTGTTAGAGATAAGAGCTAAAACTCGGTAAACAACTTCTTTATGTCTAGAAAATTCTATCTTGCCTTTTTTTTTTTCTCGCTGTGAAACGTATTCGGTCTTTTTTTTAAAAATTAATTTTTTGTTAGAGATAAGAGCTAAAACTCGGTAAACAACTTCTTTATGTCTAGAAAATTCTATCTTGCCTTTTATTTTTTTCTCGCTGTGAAACGTATTCGGTCTTTTTTTTTAAAAATTAATTTTTTGTTAGAGATAAGAGCTAAAACTCGGTAAACAACTTCTTTATGTCTAGAAAATTCTATCTTGCCTTTTATTTTTTTCTCGCTGTGAAACGTATTCGGTCTTTTTTTTAAAAATTAATTTTTTGTTAGAGATAAGAGCTAAAACTCGGTAAACAACTTCTTTATGTCTAGAAAATTCTATCTTGCCTTTTATTTTTTCTCGCTGTGAAACGTATTCGGTCTTTTTTTTAAAAATTAATTTTTTGTTAGAGATAAGAGCTAAAACTTTGCAGACAACTCCCCCATGTCTAGCAAATTTAACATTCTTCTCCCATTTTTATATATTTGGTTTAGAATGTTCGAAAATGCGTAATATGGTCATTAATATTAATTGAAAAGAACCTTGAATTAATTCAATCTGATCTCACAAAATATTTTAAATTACAAACTTTGTAGTTTGAATAGATAATTGGTATTAAACTCAAATAACTAGTTTATTTTGAATAAAAATTATTTGAATTTATTCAATTTTGTGAATTTTCCTTCAAAAATCAAGTTTAAATATCTTATTTGCCATATAATTATAAATACAATGAAACATATTCGAAATTGAAAAGAATGACTTTTTCTGTTCTTTCAATCATTCAATTTGAATTTTGCAATATTGGATTTCTGATTAAATAGCTATTAAAAACAACAAGCAATTTAACTTACATTCAAATTTATTTGTGTTATATTCAATCTTCTCAAAACTTATGATTTTCGGCTATAGCATGATTATATGCTATATAATATAATAAACATATAATAGTATCATTCTTTCAATTATTTGAAGAGAAAACCGAAAAAATCTATTTTCGGTCTATAACACTTTTAGAACATACAATTATTCTCATCAAAATCTTTTGGATTATCCATAATCATTATCTCATGTTTGCACTCACATAGGGTTGTTAAAAATATCAAAAATTAGCGTTTTGAAGACACCATGGTGTCTTATAATTTTCCCTTCCTTATTGGCGTGTAGAAATAAATGCGCCAATAGATTGAAGAAGAAGAATTGTTTTTCTCTTAATGAACTTTAATCCTTTTGATATAAGAATATTAAAAACATTAATATAATTTCGATTTCGGAAATTAAATTTCCAAATTTTTTGTCGATTTCGGAAATAACAGGATCCCGCATCCAACACGCAACAACAAAACACAAAACACACTTTTTGGTTCTTTCATCGTTTTAATCGTAATTTATGTAATAAATGATTTGGATAAATTTTACAAAAATAGAACCTATATTATATTCTTTTCAAAGATTCTTGCAAATCATCAAAAATAATTGTATTTTAAAAAACGATCAAATTATCCGTTCATTATTTTAAACTTAAATCAGTTTTTATGATTGACTAAAGCAATCATATTTATTCATCATTAAATAAACAAAAAAAAATAATATTTGAGAGTTATTTCAAAAAAAAAAACACATTGAATTTATTAATTTGTCTCAATTTCAGTATTATAAATTTTTATAATTTCAATATTTTGAAATACACTTTTTAATATTTCAATATTTATGATATTTCAATGCATTAAGTGGTCTCAAATTGAGCTTCTCAAATATAAGTTGGCCTATTCAAATAATAAAATTAAATAATATTTAAAATAATAAATAAAAGTGATTGAGGTCATAGCAAAACGGCTGTTTCAGTCATTTATTCTTAAAAATAAAAAGGGTAAAAACTAAATAAAATGGGTAAAATTCAATAGTGTCTGTGCTATTGTTCAATTTGAAGGTGTCTTTTGAAACCGCAAGACACATTGAATTTTTGAATAGTGTATTATTGTTTTGACAGACACCAATGAAAAAAATAAAATGATATTTATTTTAAATATATAAGATCCTTATATAAAATATAAATATTTTATCGTTTTATTTTCTTGTTTTAGAAATGTTTTTTATTGAAAAATCAATAAAACTAACTCCAAAATAAAATTTTTGATTTAAAGACACTATGATGACACCAGGCAAATCTTCCAAGACACCTATCGTCGGGAATCTAACAACCCTACACTCACAATAGATCAAAGATGTTACAAAAAAAATTCCAAAAATATTCCAAATTTGAAATTTCTAGAAGAATTTTTTAGACATTTTTTTATCATTTTCTCATTTTTCAAATATTTTTGGAAAAATTCTAAAAATATTTATTAATAATTGGATAGTATTTTGATTTATTTATCATTGTCTTTTATAATTTTGATGAATGAATCAAAATTCTAAATTGAAAACCAGAAATATTGTCATATGGAACTTGGTTTATAGTAAATTCAATAGACATTATGTATCAAATTTGATATTTTCTTTTTTCAAGTTTAGATTTTACCAAGGCTTCTAAATACATGAATCAAGAAGAATCGCTTAAACAGATTTTTGGCGAAGATGACCTTAAAAAGATCAGATCCAACCCGTCAGTAGCAGGATATCTTGATGATCCAGAGTTCTGCACTATGATGGCTGATATTAATCAAAACCCTCAAAATATTCTAAAATATCAAAGCAAATTCTCCAATCCTCTTGCTTTGATGTCAATTTTACCTCTAATGATACCAAATGATCAAATAGCAAAAGAAAAAGCTAATGCAGCCAATAAAAAAGAACAAGCAGATAAAGCAAAACAACAAGGAAATGACTTTTTCGCAAAAGGAAATTACGCAGCTGCTCTTGGTAAATATAATGAAGCAATAATTTTAGATCCAGAAAATATCATATATCATACAAACAAATCTACGGCACTTATGAAGCTTGAAGACTACAGAGGTGCAGTATCTGCAGCACTTTCTGCAATTAGCGTTGGCAAGAAAAATTTTGCGGGTGAAGAACTAATGTGGAAGGCCTACATGAAATTGGGCACAGCTTATAAGGCTTTAGGCGAAAAAGATCAAGCTATTCAGGCATTTGAATCTGCATCAAGATTTAAAGAAGATAAACTTACAATTGAAGCTCTAAAGCAGCTACGAAATTAATGTACGTAAGAGATAAATCCTATACTTTTTATATTTGTGTTTTATAAATCATAATTTTCTTAATATCAAATTTTTAAAGGGCCCAAACAGGAAACAACATTATGGTAATTCAAGAGTAGAGGAATATGGCTCTGTAAAGGTCTAAAAAATCTAAATTCAATACAACATTTTTTTAACATTTAAAAAATGGTAAAATACAAACAAAACATAATAATATTATGATGGTGGTAATGGAGGAAGTTTCTGCTTCTTATGAAATGTATTGAACATCTCAGTTTTATTTTTCTCATCCAAAACCAAATTCCTATCTTCAATTTGGAGCTTAATAAGTGCCTTCTCAAGCTTCTTTATGTTCTTATCTAATATTGGACACTTTTCGCATGGTTTTTCCATAATTTCACGAATTTCACGTTTTTTATCAGCGATGTGAGTCAACATCTCCATACATCTTTCATTTAGATCATCTACAACAGCGTTATATTTGTTTTGAACCGCTTGGTAATTATCATTAATTTCTTTAATTCTTTCTTCGGCATCTTTTCTTGCAGCTTCGATCTGCATCTGCGCATCTTCATAATGATCCAATTCATCACTATTTAATTTGCTAATAACTTCTTCTTCTTTCGTATGAAGCTCTTCTGTATAAGTTTCTCTTGCTTTTGCAACGATATCAAGCGTTTCAGCTCTTAAACCATCTTCTAGTGCTTGGTTTGAAGCTTCTACACCACAAAGATCGTTTTGGATATATTCAATATTTAATTCAAGGTCGGATTTGAGTTTTTCGAGTTGTTGTGATATCTGCATGGATTTTTCTTGTTCTTGGACAATCATTGGCTGATATTCGAGTTTAATTGCTTCGACAATTTTTGCTTTTTCTTGTTCAAGCTTCATTTTAAGTTCACTGATCCTTGATTCAACAGTATCTATCTGTCTCATCTTTCTTAGAACTTCCTGTTCGTTTTGAGAGAACTTTTCTTCAAGTAAATAAATTGCTCTTTCTCTAGCTTCGACTTCATCATTCAGGATCTTAATATTTCCACTTGTTTCATCTTTCTTCTTTTGAAGAGCTGCTTCGTAGTTCTTTTGAGCTTCTTCCAACTGCATTTTGAGTTCAAAAGTATTATTCATAGCTTCCATGTAATTATTCTTTGTGTCTTCTAATTGTTTAAGACCTTCAGCTTCTTCTCTTTTGAGAGAACGACGAACTTCCATGAATTCTTGCCTCTTTTTGTCCAAATTTGTATCTTGAATAACAATTGGATCTTTTCCAGGGCTTGATGTAGGTGTAGGGATTTTTACTGGCTCATCAAGTGGACTTGATGTTGATCTTGATGTAGATCTGGAAGTTGATCTTGAAGTATCTCTTGAAGAAGTCTTTTGTGATGATGAAGGAGTCTTTGCTACAGGTGTTTTAGATATATCAGCAATAGGTGATGGAGGAATTTCGATTTTCAGTGGATTTTGCTTCTCAGAATTCTTTGTTGGAGTTTTTTCGGAGTATTTCGGAACAGGACTTTCAGCCATCATCACAGGTGTCCTCAAAACATCATCTCTCGGGGAGATTTGAGATGATGATATACTCGAACTTCCGGTAGACAAAGGCGGGGGCATTAACAGCTCTAATTCTGCTTCGTGCTGAGCCTTAAGAGCTTTCATCTTCTCGTTAATTGCGTTTTGGACCCTTTGTTCCATTTCAATTCTCTGTTGTTTTTCTTCTGCAGCCTCTTCTTCTTCATTATTCGCTTCATCGGATGTATCACCGAGAATAACCTTATTTTCTGCAATAATAGCTTCAAGCTCGCGTGTCAAAGCTTCGATTTTTGCGTTATAATATTTTATATCTTTTTCGCCTTGCCTTTTTGCTTCTTTTTCCTCATCATCGAAATGCTGATTGATTGTAGCTCTATCTTCTCTCCATTGTTCTTTAGTTTGAGTGATTTCATTTTCAATATTATTTACTTCATCGGCCATTTTCTTAATTTCAGCATCATGTTGATCTTTAATCTGCTTAATATGTTCAGCATAAAGTCTTTCCTTTTCTTCCAAGTCCGCATTCGATTTATCTTTATCATTTTCAATAGAATTTCGTAATTGATTCAAAGAATCAGTCATTCTCATTAATTTTGCTTCAAGACTCATTGTTATTTCTTTCTTAGCAATCTCAATATTCGTATCGTGATTGTCTATAAGCTCTTGGAGCTGGTTTTCGTACTCTTTTTGTTTTTCTTCAATTGTAGCTTTCATTTTCAGTTCATTTTCTTTGATTTGTTGTTTAATCTCTCTATTTTTGTTCTCAAGGAACTCGATTTTCGATTTCTTTTCCGAAATTTGTTGATTTAAATTTGCTTCGTTTTCTTTGAATTGTCTTTCGCATTCTTCTTTCACTTGGTTCCATTTAGACTCTAATGCAGGTCCTACTTCTGTATGGCTCTTCTGTAAATCTTCGTAGGATTGCTTTAATTCGAGAACTTTTTTCTCATCGGGTTCTAGTTTTTCGTCGAGTCTTTCTTTGTGCCTTTTAAGTGTTTCATTATTTTGAGTAATTACTTGAGTGACATCTTTCATTCTTTGGTCAATTGCAGCATTTAAATCATCTGAAGCTTTTTTCGTAGCATATTTGGTCATTTCTAAAGCATCTAGTTTAGAACTAAGCTGCTTTTCAAAATGATCAGTAAACCTTTGCGTTTCAACTTGTATTTTTTCATTCATTGAAGAATTAGCAGCAGTAATTCGTTCATTTAGTAAAGCAACTGTTTTATTATGCTCTTCTCGCTTTTGATCGAGTTTCTTGTTCATTACTTGCTGTTGATTTGAGATTAAAGTTTCTAAAATCGATTGACTGTTTTGATATGATTTCTTTTGCTCATTGCTAAGCCTTTCAAAACTTTCATCTATTGTGGATAAGGAGTCCATGAGTTGTTTATACGACTTTGTGTAAAGAGTATCTAAAGATTCAACTCTATTTTTCTTGAAATTCTTTACTCTACTCTGTATTTTAAGCGATCTGTCGGAATCTTCATCAACATCCATGGAGATAGCAATGTTTCGATATCTACCGAAAACTTCATCGCAAAGAGGCAAAGTATTCTTTAATTCTTGCATTCCTTTCTCACCATTTGTCTTAGACATCGTTCTGATCGAGCCAAAGAGCTCTTGGATATAATACCTACCCTTCTCTTTGGCTTCGGTACTCATTATATAACGTATATTTCCTCATTTTTATCGGCGTGAAGAAAGATGATAAATCATCATGTAACTCAATAATCACAAATAATATGGATTAAATTTCTATAGTGAAAGGTATTAGTATAGTCTCTGCTTTAAATACTACAAACTTTCCTGTTCAAAATGCTTTTTTCAATTCACAATGACTTCAAATTGATAATAATTAATAATGATTGTAGAATGAAGCTATATTTGTGTTAAATATATATCTTATAAGATGATTCATGCTTATAACAATAAAATTGAGGACGAAAATCAAGTATTTGGAATTAACTTTCGTTGATATATGTGTCATGCGATTATCTTAATCACATTGTGACAAGGTTGAGGCTATGTGTTAAAACAGAATAAATTCTCAACAACCGATTGAAGTCGGACTAAAATCATCTATTCTATTATAGTAAATTAGATATTAATCTACTAGAAACATCTTGTCATAGTATAATTTTCAGGCTAAAGCTATTCTTTTTAATTTCATAATAGAATCCATCATACTAAATTTGAAATTTACAAAGAATTAGCTCTTTCATGTAAAATACAATCAAATCGTACATATAGTTTCCAAATAATCCAATAAATGATCGTAAATTCTGATAAAAATCGTTTGATGCATTATGGCGCGTAGCGAGATAGCTTTATACATATCTAAACCATAGGAATGCATATTCAACTCATACATTCGGGCCAGAAATTCACAAGATTTTGTGGCAAAATTCATTATTTACAGTTTTGCTATCTTCCACAGAAATATATCAGGATATATGTGGTCTAAAATACTTTATTTTGTTGATAATTTCTGCCTGTAACATTTTTTGGATGATAAAGTTTCAAAATTTCGAAATATGAGCTTCAAAAAATAATACTTATCTCAAACTTCCTTAAAATTCTGCTAGATTCTTTTTTCAATGATATAAGATTTTGACGAGTAGGGGTAATTTTAGCTAAAAGTAACACACTTGTAAAAAGTGACACACCCGTGAAGGGTGTGATTACCGATCGGTAATTTCGACAGTTTAGAATTTAAAATTTTTTATGGAACTGTTGCGAGTTTCATAAAGAATTTAAGGAATATAAACAAAGATTTGAATCAAAATCTTAGACCTAAGCCGCTCGATTCGCTCGCGGCTTCCGCGAATTACAGATCAGCAAAGATTTGAATCAAAATCTTCGAACTAAGCCGATCGCTTCGCTCGCGGCTTTCTTTATTATTTTAAATTTGCATATTTCCATCAAAAGTTCATAAGGTAAAAAATTTCGTTTATATTATTGCAAAATAAAATCTTCATTATCAAAATAATATTAAATGATAATATAATATAATTTATAAACAACTATTATTTAATAAAGTTTAATTGCCAAGGTTCATCTAATTTTTTGTTTTTAATGTTTTATGAATTTTATTTATCATGTATATATCTAATGAAGATTATATATGTAGAAGATAAGTACCTTAATATGTACGTAAAAATTAATGAAATTTATTTTGAATGTAGAACCGAGCAATTTTCCCTGTCACTTTTAGCATATCTTGAGTGCTGTGATTCTTGAGCAACATCACTCGAGCATTTTAGATAGTACCAATGCTGATATGCTGCTGTGCTTTTACTGGCTAAACTGTAAATGGCAGATCGATTATTCACAGAACGATTGAATCAGAATTTTTTAATTCGATATTTAGGTTTAACTTGTCCTAGTAATTATTAATTTGAGAAAATTTCGTTAATTCAATATTTTTTCCCAGATTAAACATAAAAATGGATCAGCTAGAATTTTCTATTATTATTTCATTAAAAAATAGAGTTTATTGAAAAAAATTAAACCTGCGGTTAAAATTTGTTATCAAATTTTTGGTTAATTTATTTTAAATTATGAATATAAATATATCTAGCTTTCCGAAAAATAACCGTTCAAAAAGTGACTAGATTAATTCTATATAACCATGAAATCAACAAATAAAGAACAAATGCAAGTATATCACAAGATTCATGATTATGTTGTTGGAGTTGAAATTGCACGTGGTGCCTTCAGTTCAATTCGTGAAGCGTTCAGAACAGATTCTCCTGGTTCATATGCTATGAAATTGATTTCCAAGAAAAAAATCAGACAATATATCACATCTAAAGAAATGATCTTCAGTGACTCTGTGATTGCACCACTATTATTCCATCCTAATATTGCAAGAGTTTATCAGACCATTGAATCAGTTGCTCAGCATTTTCAAATCATGGATTTATTTCAAAAGAATACTCTCTTATACTATATTCAGTATAATTCTCTTACCACAGAGCAACTTTTGACTTATTTAGATCAGATATTATCTGCAATTGAGTATCTTCACCTTCATGATCTTTGCCATCGCGATATCAAGCCAGAGAACATTTTAATGACAGATGGAAATGAAGTTAAACTTACAGACTTCGGTTTTCTAACTTTTTCATTTGACGGAAAGAACAGTGGAACATGCGGCAGCCCAGGATATGCCGCACCCGAGGTCTTCTTGTTCAACGTTTACGATGGCAAAAAAGCTGATATTTGGAGCATTGGAGTTCTTGTTTATTCTCTCTTTGCTGGTACATGTCCGTTCCCATCGGATTTGAAGCAATCACCTCACATTTATCTTGACCAAGTCGATTTTACGAAAATTCCTGATTGCGTTCAATCATTCGTTAAAGATTGCCTGAAACTTGATCCAAATGAACGCCCTACGGTATCACAATTGCGCGAATATACTTGCTTCGACTCAATTAAGCGAGCACAAAAGAACGAAAGACCAGATTTAATATCTCCAATATTAAAGCCACAGTTTTACGCTCCAACCAAGCTTAGCCAGTATCTCTCTATTCCGCAAACCGAAATCCTAGCTTCACTACAGCAAAAAGGCTCTTCCCCAGAGAAAATTTTATATTCTTTGCAATCAGAGCTTCCATTCCTTCCATTCCCACGTTTATCCAGCTGCCCAAGTCCAGGAAGATTACCTAACATCCTTAATGACGTATTTTGCGAAGGCAGTTACAAGATTTTATCTGCAATTTCATCACATCTTCTTCCGATGAGGTTTTGCATATCCCAACAGCCACAGGGCGAACTGAGGGCTGTTCTCAACACAAATGGCGAAGATATTTGTTTCGACATTGAACTGTTCGATATGCCAGGCAAAAATCTTTGTGATGTCAAGATTAAGGCAGGAAAAACGGCTGCTGCATATGCGGCCGAGCTACGAAAGTTTTTGACAGATAATTTCAACGTCGAAAAATTTTAATAGATTTTATATCAAATAAGTAATTTACAATGAATGATCCGCACTCACCATCGCCAAAAGTGCTATTTTACGCCATTATTATTTGATTCCAACGAAAATTAATTTGGACATACCTCATGGTCTTTCAAATTATCAGTCCACCCATATTTGGTTAACATTTACATCCATACGATACCTTGTTAATACAATTCCATCCACTCACAACGAGTTTTCTTTTCATTTTTCAAATTATTTTCTTATTTCATTTGTAACTTACTTATTTTATTATATTTGGATCTAGTAGAATTTTAGAGTATACAGTTCTCCTTTCTTAATGTTGATATTTATTTTTATATCAACATATTTATAGAATTCACCACTTATAAATTGTTTATTTTGTTAGTAGAATAAATCATCTCTCTCATCCCTTTCCTATTCTTCTTTATCTTTCTAATTTTAAACAAATTAATATTTTTCATCCCTTTCATGGCTTGTAACTGCACTTTATGATAATTGATTGTATAGTTAAGTTTGATTTTCAAAGTTGGTACTTAAAGCGCTATAGACTAACTCAAGAATGGAAAATTAGTATTAACATAAAAAATATACTAATTCAAAAAACATATTCGGTTTTTATTTTAGTTACGCTCGCCACGGATACGCTGAGCAAGTTGGACATCACGTTCCATGATTGTGACTCTGTTAGCATGGATGGCGCAAAGGTTTGTATCTTCGAAAAGACCGACAAGGTAAGCTTCAGAAGCTTCTTGGAGAGCAGCAATGGCTGAAGACTGGAAACGAAGATCACCACGGAAGCCAGAAGCGATTTCTCTGACGAGACGCTGGAATGGGAGCTTACGGATAAGGAGATCTGTGCTCTTCTGGTACTTACGGATTTCACGAAGTGCAACTGTACCTGGGCGGAAACGATGTTGCTTCTTGGCACCCTGGGAATCGATTGTTGGTGTTGACTTGCGGGCGGCCTTGGCACCGAGGGACTTACGTGGGGTCTTGCCACCTGTTGACTTTCTAGCTGTCTGCTTTGTACGAGCCATTATCAAAAATAATGATATTCAAAGAAAAATTGAGAGTAATGGCGGGAAATTTATTTTGCCATTTTTAGCCAATAATTTTTGAATATCCATTTTAGGGAGTTGGCGCTATTTTTGTGATGAATCAAAAACTGTCATAAGTTATAAATGTCCGGCAGAGGCAAAGGTGGTAAAGGTCTCGGTAAGGGTGGTGCTAAGCGCCATCGTAAGGTTATGCGTGAGAACATCCAGGGTATCACAAAGCCAGCTATCCGTCGTCTTGCTCGTCGTGGTGGCGTTAAGCGTATCTCTGGTGATATCTACGAAGAAGTTCGTGGCGTCCTTCGTCACTTCCTTGAGAACGTCATCCGTGACTCCGTTACATACACAGAACATGCTCGTCGTAAAACAGTTACAGCAATGGATGTTGTTTATGCCCTCAAGCGCCAGGGTAAGACACTCTACGGTTTCTAAACTATAATTGTCATGTATATAATTAATATCTTTTTAATTTGTAAGTTTATTTTTTTTAAATAAATTTGATTTTGTTTTATCTATAAAAAGCTACTTAGAATGAAAAATATGTTGAAGTTTCATTTTGTAACCTCATTGTCTAGTCAAATGTTTTCCCAATATCTTAATCCATCTAGATTAGAATTAATAGAATAACAATAAAATCAGTTCTGAGATATCACAATGCTAAAAGTCTATACTATTTTGATAAAATCTAATATAACTCTATTTTTATAAAAAAATCAAATCAGAAAAAAAGATATTATATAACACCAACCTTCTTATCCTTAGCAAGAAGCTTTTTGTTACGCTTCTTAAGATATGCATTTAATCGTCCTGTGCTCTGAAGCTCATCAAATTTCTTCTTCTGTTGCATTAACTTCATATCTTGCTTACCCATCCAAAATGGACGTTTTCCTTCTGCTATTCTTTGCCTTTCCTCACGGTGCCATTGAATACTTGCATTAACATCATCAATCTTTGATGCCATCGTTTTATGCTGATCTTTAAGCGATTGTAAACGTTTCTTGAATTCAGGATCGTCTGCAAGAGTAGGATCATCTTCTAATTCTTTTTGCATTTGAGAAATTTCTTGTTCTCTATTCTTTTGTAAAAACGCATAGTTCTTAACAAATCCAACTTTATCAATTTCACCACATTCTTCTCTAAATCTTGGGTCTGTTATTTTATGAGATTCTTCAGTATCAAGCAGTTTCCTACCACATGGCTTAGATGTAGATAGCTCTTGTGGAGCATTCCTTGATTTCTTGGATCGAACTTTTTTCTTATGATGTTCTTCACTCATTAAAATCTTATATCGGCGCTACACGCCAATAAACCGAGGACATCTTATTGCTTTCGACTTTAAATTTTACCAAAATCTTTGTGGACAATGTTTTCCGCATATATAACATAACATTTTCTCCTAATGAAAATATATACGACTTTTGAATTTAAAATTTTTTAATGTCTGACCAAGACATAAATCCAAATAAATACAGTGAACTGCGAAGTACCTATAAGTACTACATTGATTCATATAGTGCGCTTTATCAGTTAAAAACGGACAAAGAAGAAGAATTAAACGATATTTACAAAATGATCAAAACAGAATTGATTGATTCAAAGAAATATCCACCCAATAATATTATGGAAGACATTTTAAACATTATTCCGTATAATAATCGCTATACAAAGTCATATTTAACTCTTGCCAAACTCATATATGATGAATATCATGTCAAAGAGGTCAACAAAGTTTTCTATATTTCAAGCTTCCTGTTTTATAATGAATATGGAATTAAATTAATCAAATCCGAAAATTTCGTAGAAATTAATTATGAAAATATGGATATTCATAAAGAAGATACAATTTACAGAGCAATTATGTATAATGACAAAGAAAAATTCATCTCATTCACTGAAATTGAAGGATTTAATAAAAATGTAAGACTTACAAGCAGGATTTTTCAAAAATTTCAGAGTAGTTATTCATTACTTGAATTATGTTGTTACTATGGAGCAGTTGATTGTTTCAAGTTTTTAAGAACGAAATTTAACTCAGAAATAACTCAAAAATGTCTAGAACTTTCATTTTTAGGAGGAAATCCAGAGATCATGAGTGAATGTTTGAAATATGAAGAACCAGAAGAAGAATCAATGGAATATGCAATTATTTCGCACAACATTGATTTTGTGACATTCTTGATGAATGAATACAATATTAAAATCAACTTAAATGATTGCGAAAAATATAAGAATCTTGAATCATTTTTAGTTTATTTTGATCAAACTCATGATTTTAACAATTGCTTTATTTACTCAGTGATGTTTAATATTCCATCCCTTTCAGAATATTTCTTTTCACATGGTACTAATATCAATGAAAAAGATAACGATGGAGAAACCGCACTTCATATTGCAGCATTAAATAATAGTAAAGAAACAGTTGAGTTTCTTATTTCACATGGTGCAAATATCAACGAAAAAGATAAATATAGATGGACAGCTCTTCACTTTGCAGCACAATATAATAGTAAAGAAATGGCTGAACTTCTTATTTCACATGGTGCAAGTATTGATGAAAAAAATATAAATGGAGAAACAGCTCTTCATTTTGTAGCAATGATTAATATAGGGTGTCCAAAGGTGTGTTTAGCACAAACCTGAATACTGCGAATAGAAATAAACAAGTTACATATATATAAAGTTTATTTAAATATAATCACCATTGGATTCAATCACGCGTTCGCAGCGATCGATCCAGGCTTGAAAGACACGCTTTAAATCATCATGAGAAAATTGCTCAAATTGCTCTCTTACAAAATTTTCAAGATCATCTGGACTCGCGAATTCGCGTCCTTCAGCTCTCTTTTTTAGCGTGCCGAATAAATAAAAGTCAGAGGGTGCAATATCAGGTGAATAAATTGGGTTTGGAACAACTTTGACATTGTTTTCCAACAAGTAATTCATTACCTTATGACTTTTGTGAACTCTTGAATTATCAAAATGAATTGCAAACTTTTGTTTTTGTTGTTTGGATTTCTCAAACTCATCAGAATTGATAATTTGAGTAAGAACATTGTCAATTAGATACTGAGCATTCATCGTATTAGGTTTTTGAAGAATATCAATTGCGATGATGCCATTCACGCCCCAAAAAACCGACAACATCATCATTGGTGTGTCAATTTTTTTCTTCGGGAATGTTTGCGGATTTTCATCCTTCGGGATCCACATGATTTTGGCTTCTGTTGCATATTGAAACCAAGACTCGTCCCCTGTTACTAAAAAGCGAAACTTCTTGGATTGATACGCAGCCAATATAGAGAGGAGCTCTTTCGAAGATTGGACTCTAGATTTTTTTTGAACTGAATTAAGGTTGTGCGGAACCCAACGTGTATACGCTAGTTTGTAGTTCAAATAATTGTGCAGATAATAACTGACTGTTGTACGTGGTATCTTTGTCATCTCCTCTATCCTTCTGAGTGATGCTCTTGGGTCTTCATCTAGCGCTTGAAGAATTGCTTTGATTTTTCTTTGATCCGGCGATTTTTTGTCAATTTTTATGATGGGCGCCTTTTTGTTCATGAAGTGATACATCCTAACATGATACGTTACAGTGGAATAGCTAGGAGCATCCATACCGAAGCATTTTACCAATGTCTCGTAGATTTTTTTACAGTCTTTGCATTTTTTTTGCAAGAGCGAGGATGTTTTCTTTATGATTCATTAAAAAATGAAAAAAATCCCGCCAAAATTTCCCGCGAAACCGCCTCTTGTCTCAAAATTCATTTTATATCCCGGCATGGCGCCAAAATACAACATACTCATCATATACATATATTCATATTTTTTATTATATATTTATAATCAGCATATATCTCCTTTAATAGTCTCATATAGAGCGCTGTGCTAAACGCACCTTTGGACACCCTATAGTATAGAGATAGCCGAACTTCTTATTTCACACGGTGCAAATATCAATGAAAAAGATGAGGATGGGAAAACTGCTCTTCATTTTGCAGCATATTATAATAGTAAAGAAATAGCCGAACTTCTTATTTCGAATGGTGCAAATATCAACGAAAAAAATATAAATGGAGAAACAGCTCTTCATTTTGTAGCAATGATTAATAGTATAGAGATAGCCGAACTTCTTATTTCACACGGTGCAAATATCAATGAAAAAGATGAGGATGGGAAAACTGCTCTTCATTTTGCAGCATATTATAATAGTAAAGAAATAGCCGAACTTCTTATTTCGAATGGTGCAAATATCAACGAAAAAATAATTACTATATCTGGAAATATTAAAACAAAAAGTTTAGCCTTAAACCCCAAATGATCGAAATTTAGGGCTTTGGCAAACCGACTACAGTAACACCCTTAATATATACATATATATTGATTTTTAAAGAAAATGTCAGAAAGTGGTAATTGGACCCTTAAGGGTGCCGGAAAGTGAAGTGAAAGCTATTATAAAAACAACACTTTTCAAACCCATAAAATCATTTTTATTTTGTTTTGTTTATATGAGTATAAACCTTAAGTGATGATGTATCATAGTATCATATTCAAACTAAGTGAAAACGATGTTTATGATTATAAGGTTATCGAAAACATACAAAAATCATACAAAATTTTTAAAATCTGAAAGGGAAAAAGTGCATTTATCTCAACATATGAGAATTGAAAATAAACTTTATTCTGTAAAACTTTTAGTATAACTATTGAAATTTTGTGTTTAATGTATCTCACTGGCTTAAACACAATATTGGAGGACTAGATACAAATCTAATTAAACTTTGAATGAGACCATTTCGACTGGAAACCACTACCATTGGGTTTGTTCCCTAATGGTAATTAGCAGAATCCAGTGAGATGGTAGTGCAATCGGTCTTAGTTTTGAAGTTACCCACTAATTGCATCTCGACACTTTTTAACAAGTGCCAAATGTTTTCTGTAAAATATCTAGTATCTTGTACCTAGATATCATTCCTGCAGTATCAGCCCCTGCCATGGAATAACCAGGGACTAGATAGGTCCGCAAGTTCGAAAATTGAGAAGCAGTTTTCTTCATACTGGAAGTATCCAAGACCTCAGCATCATAGAAGTAAAAACCTTAGTATATACACTACTAATATATGTTTCAATATCATTAATATCTTTACTACAAATGAAGTTATGAGCAATACTCGAAATCGCGTCACCTCACTTTCCGGCACCCTTAAAGTAATTTTTTTCCCTATGATAGAATTGATTTTTTATGAATAAACGTAAATATAGCATACATTGATCATACTCTATTTTTTTATTGTTTCAAAATCTAAAAAAAAGATATCAAGGTGTAAATAACGTACATTTTTATAAACTAAGCTAGTGAAGATTTTTCTCCATACAGTTTTATTATATTAGTAACATTAGGAGTTGGTGCTGGCGAAGATCCACCACCAGATTTCTTCATCTTTTTTCCAATAATAATTCCTCCAAAAATAATAATCAAAAGAATAACAATAATCATATACCAATAGAAGCACTTTGATGATTGATGATGATCGGCCTTTTGCAACTGAATATTTCCTTTCTTAATCTCTTCAGCGGCTTCTTCAACTTTTCCATCAATTCTATCAAGCATCGTACCCTGCTCAACAAGCACGGTACCAAGATCAGCGAATAATTGGTTCAATTGATTCATCATTCCGATCAAATTTGTTAATTCTTCATTTCTTTGACGTAACATGTTTTCATTGCTCTTTACTTGAGCAATTTGTGAGTCTGTAAAAGCCACATCATCAATATCATCAAGTACACCATCATCATTTTCATCATCTTCAAATCTTGCAGCTCTTTCTTTCTGCTTCTTAATTGTTTTGATGTAATCGGCTTGCATATCTCGGAAATGAATTGTTATATCTCTTAAACGAGCTGAATAACCGTATTGCATGTTATTTTGAATTGTTCGACTCTGTTTTGAAAGATTTGGATCTGTAATACGAATAGCATCACGTAATTGTTGTATTTGAGTCGATATTTGTTGGGTTTTTGCTTCTATTTCAAGATCAAGCTTTCTATCATTTCCAAAATCGATTCTCTTACGTTGTTTGTGCATATCTGCAAGATTTTGAATTTCCATTTGAATCATATTGAATTTGGTTTCAACCATATTTGATTTTTCAACAACGTTCGATGAAGTTCCGAATTCTGGAGCTAATGTTGGATTTAACTCGTCTTCAAGTTGGCTTTTATATGAACCACGTGATTTAGCTGTACCAGAACGATATGTCTTATATTGGGCAGTCCTGTCCCTTAAATAACCCATTTGTTGTTCTTTCTCCATTTTCTCATATAAAATTTTTTTTTATCGAATCGATTTTAGAGTTTGAAACATTATTTCTCTCCTAACTCTAAAAATAATTGAATAAACATGAGACATAGTGATAACAGATGTCTTGGAAATGCTTCTGCTTTGAAATATCAGTTTCATTATTTGAAAAACAACTTTGGACCACATAATTTCCATTACTTTTATGCCAACATAGGGAAAATCAATAAACAATTTCCTGTCGCATAATGAAGAATAGTTTTCCCAACTATATCTGTGAAAAAAAGGAGATTTATAGTCCACAAATTTTATTTCATTTTATAAGCTAAAATATTCTTTGATAACCTTTTGTATATCTTCAGATACTTTTTCTAATGGTTGATTGCCGTCAATAATGCGCCAGCGGTCATCTTTCAGTGATAAGAAAAGTTCACGAACTTTATTCTGAAATTCAGTCTTTTCGTATATTTCCTCACCAAATCCCTTACGTTTTGCTTGAACTTCAGGGGAAATATCAATAAATATAACAAGATCAGGTTGAGGAAGTCCTTTTTCTGGAGCCAAACACCAGTCAACATCCATACCTTTAGCAGCTGAATAAACAACGCCACTATAATAGTATCTATCGCAGATTATAGTTGTGCCGTTATTCAAAAGTTCCTTGATTTTTGGTGATAATTCCCATCTATTTGCTGTAAACAATAAGTGGATTGCTTCGTCAACAAGATTTGAAGACTTCTTTAAATAAGCATTGATCATCTGACCAATCTCTGTTGTTCTATCAGGAAAACACATCTGTTCTACTTTGGGAAATAGTCCTGAATTAGCGAGAAGCTTGCATTGCGTTGATTTACCTGAACCATCACAACCTTCAAAGAGAATAAATTTCCCTCTTGTACTCATTTGCCACTTTTCAATATAACTAAATCATTAATAGATTTCTCAACCTTGATGCAATCTCCAGTACATATACTTGGCCGATAAACAGGGAAAAATGACAAGCATATCATGTTTCTAATTATCCGAATGAGTTAATAAGGTTTTATGATCTATTGTGTGAAGATACAAACTTACTACGATTCCGTAGTCCACAAAATCAACTTGGTTATAATATTATTTCTAACTTCAGGTGGCTACGCTTGCCCTTCGGGCATGCATGCCACCTTCGGCAAAATAAACATATATCGATTATAGGATAAGCGTTTATTCATTTATTTCATTTTAGATCTTTCGCCCGAACCTCTCGAATTTGGCAATGTTTCGCCCAAAAGTCCTCATAATTTGTGAGAATTGAGAACTCTTTCGATCTTTCGCCCATGTTTTGTCCAAAATATTAATGACTAAAATTAAAAATTGGATGTTAAGTTACTGTAAATTCATAATGTAAAAAGTATGGCCGTTGTCCACTATGTCAAGTTTCATCACAAGCAGTCCAGCATTTCGATGTGATTTATGAGATTATTATATATATTGTGAACATGATATACTATAGGATAAAAAAAAAAAAAAAAAAAAAAAAAGGTAGTGGGGCTTCCAGGCACTTCGTGCCCTCTAGCCCTGAAGATGTTTAGTATAAATGAAGTTTTTATTCGGAAAATTGTTAGTCTTCTGGTGTGAATTCGGAGGACTCTTCTTCTTCAACATCAAAGTCATCTGGTGTATCGAACTGAATGTATGAAAGCCAAATGTTGTATGTGTTTTCCAATTGGCTTTCAAACTTGAGATACATTCCATGCATGAGTGTTATTTCAGTTTCAACGTAGAGTTGCTGATGTGGCTTGAAGACATGCATGAGAATTGGTCCTCCAAATTCGTCCTTGAAAAACTTGCAGTAGCAAACATAAACTGAGATAGAGTCTCCTTCTTCAATGTCTTCTGCTTGGTTAACGAAATGAATAGCAATTTTGCGTACTTGAATTGTGTTGTTGTCTGAGTAAAATAATGGTTTGAACTTGGGGTTGAGTGAGCTAAGACATTGCCATTTTGCTGTTTCTTGTCCGTACTCACGTTCTTCTTCGTCATCCTGATATCCGTAACTCTTTGATTTGAATTCGACCCAAAGCTGTTCGACTTTTTTTGCAGCTTTGGGTGGAAGACTTTCAATAAGCTGACATATAGTTCTGTCAACCATTATCTTTGTTATTGTTGGAAAATAGTTGACAATTGTGTCACCTAATTCGAATGGGTCAGGTGTTTCTTTTTGTAGTTTGGTAAAGTCTGCAAGAACTTTGTTGAGTTGTTCACAATATTCTTTGTTAAAAGTTGCAGGAACTCTTTCTTCTGGCTTTGAATTGAAGTATTCTTCAGACAATCTGAGTAGTATTTTGCGTAGTTCAGCGTTGCTGTGGTTCTTTGTAATACGGAGCTCGTTTGGTATTGTTTTTGGTAGTGAAAGTGGCTTTGGATTGAGTGAATTGCAGGACAAATTTGAATTTGAATTGTCTGTTCTGCTTGGAGAATGTGTAGATGCTGCAGTTTGATATTGAGGTTCTAAACCTGTGGGTGCTGAAAGTCTGCAAGCAATTTCTTCAGGTGAATTTGGAGCGAACACGCTAGCGAATGCCATTAGACAAAAATAAACTGTTTTTTTCAAATAAGAGTTTGAGATGAACCGTTTTCGTCAACGGAGACCCCCTCTATTTTTTTATTTTATTTAATAGTTACCGTTGGAAAACCGTTCCATCTCAAATATTGAATGAACTATAAACGTTTTTTGTTTTCTATATATACTTTTTTGTCCAACGGTAAAACTTTTTACACAACGGTTTTTGAGAGTCGTCGCTGTTGACTTTTTTGTAGAGCACTCAAAATAGTATAACTTTGTCCGGACAAGTAAGGGTCTATCGTCGCTACAGGAAAAGTTACAGGCGTTCCAAGGAAGTATACTTTGAGAAGACTTTCCCCCTTATAGAATGAGATAAGACGGTTATTTTACAAAACTGACAACACTTTGACCGAGTAGTTTTTTGTGCTGAACAAAAAGTGTCATATAAACATCTGTCAAAAACCGCTTTTTAACTTCACTTAAAATGCCACGTAAGCTACGTAAGAATATACGTAAGAGGAAGAGAGCATTGAAACATCCAATAGTAAAACTAACACCACAACAACAGTTGCAACAACAAATTATGAATGACCCCACTATGTTGCAACAAATGTCAAGCAACCCTATGCTTTTAAACCGAGTTATTGGTGCACAGAGTGGAGGTTTAAGAGCGGCACTTTTAGCGAAAATGGCAGGCTATGGTGGAGCTGCAGACGGAACAGCTTATAACCCTCAAAGTCAAATGAATTTGAGTTCACTCAAAAATCAAATAACAGATGTCAAAAAGTCAAACATAGACATACAGAAACAAATAAGTGAAAACGAAAAGAAACTAGAATATGACAGACACACAAAGAAACTCAATGAGTTAAACGTAGAGAAAAAGAAGAAAGAAGAACAACTGAAAGAACTAAGTACAGAGGAATATGCGAAAAAAGTGTCAGAAAAAGCAGCAGAAGTAGCAAAAATGGAACAAGATGTTATAAATTTGAAAAACCATACTACTCAATATAAAGTACTGAAAGATGAAGAAATAAAACAAAAAGCCCTGAAGACATATATGGATAGCGATGAGTATAAAAAAGAAGTTGAAGCAAATGTAAAGGCAGAAAAACTTTTACAGTTGCAAAACCAAACCGTACAGTATGAAAACTTAGCACAAGAAAGTAAAAATAACGACGCAGCCATGCAAAAGGCAATGAAAAGCGCAGAATATATAAAAGCTAATAATGACTGGTTAGATGCCCAAGCCAACGCTAAAGCAGCCCAACTTATAGGGTCAATAAGGACAAAAATACAAGCGGATGAAGACAGTTCAAATGAAGCTTTAATGAATGCTGACTTTAAGAACGCCTTCGAAGCTCTTCATAGTAAGGTGAAACTAGTGAACGACTTCTCATCTGGAAAGAAACTGAAGTCTGAAGGTTTCGACAAAGAGTTAAGAGAAGTAGCACAAAATATGACGAAAATAACAGATGCAGCAACGAGACAGGCAGTTCAAAGTGCCTATGACGCCGTTAGAGCAACTGTTGTGGAAAGTCAAGAAAAAGAGTTACAACAGACCAAAACAGACCTAGTAAATGCTTTCTTAAAAACGAAAAGTCAGGTAGGACATTATGCTGCAGATGGAACATATGTGCCAGCTGGTGGAACTTATATACCAGCTGGTGGAACTTATATACTAGCTAGTGGAACTTATATACCCACCAAACCCCTCCAAGAGAAGCACCTGCACCAGGACTACCTAAAACATTTACATCGTCACATGGACACAAACACAGGCATGCACCAAAACCAACACAACAACCAACACAAAACCAAACAGTTCAAAACACTGCACCACAACCAACAGTTCAAAACACTGCCACCACAACCAACAGTTCAAAACACTGCACCACAACCAACAGTTCAAAACACTGCACAGCAACAAACCACAAACAGAGCAAGGACATAAAAGAAGTAGAGAACAAGGAAACCAAGAATTCTTAAAAATGCTTAAGGAAAATTATGGTTACCCAGATACTCTTGACTTTAGTGACAGATATAAAGAAGCTATTAGAAAGTTCAAGGAAGGAAATACTGACCCGAACCTATTTAGCTTTATGGTTCAGCACCAAATGGATATAATTTCAAACCTGGAAAATACAAGCTCGCTAAGGATATGATTTAATAGCATATCATCCAAATGACATGACTGAATTTACTCCGAGATATTTGGTGTCAGAGCTAAATGATAATTCAACTTCTCTTCATGAAACGCGTAAAAAATAGAGACGGAACGAAAGAAGAAAGGTTTATGAGTCGGATGACTTAGATAGGGAACTTTTAAAAAACGGTCTCGAATATATGAAATGCCAGCAGATGAGGTACAAGAAACTCCACAGGAAGAAGTTCCAGATACAACCAGACATGGAAGAAATAGTTCAGCAACAACAGCTAGAAGAGCCTGAAGGAAACAAACAAGTCCCTCCTTTGGAAACTAACTTCACAGAACTAGATGAAGATTTGGAACAGCCGAAAAATCTTGACCCTCAACAAGAGTATGCGGAGAATATGGAATCTTTCCAAGAGTCTTAAGAAAAATTTCAGCTGACATAGTAGAAGAATATCGAAAAATGTTCGCCGACATACAAAAGACTCCAACATTCAGATGAAAATATCAGCATAGAATGGAAGTACTGAAAGATAATGTACACAAATACAACAATCCTTTTTACTTACGAGCATATAACGTTCAATCTTTGGATGAACTCGGTGAAAATAAAAGTTAAATTTCAACAAAACATATAGAAATGAAACATTGTTTAAAGTTCATTCAGAACCTAGCCAATATGGAAACAAACCTACTTTTGTTTCTGCAGACGATGGAACTACAATGAGATGGGTCATAAAGCTAATCCGGATAGGTGGTTCATAAACTTACAACCACAATTCCAAGAAGTTGTAGACGCAATGGAAGTGAATGGTGAACCAGATGTAGCTGGTATTTTCAGCGCCGGCTTTAATGCCATTGAAAGATATGAAAGATGCAGATATTTTGGACCAGTATGAAATGAACATGGCTGATGGAAATATAACACCTGACGTTCTAGAACATTTATCTCAAAGAACTACACAGAAACCATAGAGATGGTATATTGGTGAAGAGTTTAGAAAGAAAGTTAGGGAGAGAGAAGGAAGAGAACCTATTGCTACATGACCTTGCAAACGAAAGTTTACAAAATGTCATAAAAACTTACTTTGCAGACAATGAACCGAGAAGGGATGAATATTTAAGAAAAACTCAAATGGACAGTACCAAATGAAATTTTAGTATGAAAAAAACATGTTCCTTGACAAAATAAAACCAACTACAGAAATAAATGACGCAAGACTGAAACATTGGGTAAAAGCTTTCCCATTCACAAAAGATATTATTGGTAACATGGAAAGAAAACCAGAATGGCTACAAAAACATATATTTGGAAACGAGCTTATTCCATATGGACAAGCTCTGTTTGAAGAGCTTGAACCGGAAACTCAGGAAAGAGTCATGCAAACAATACGCGAAGACTCAAATACAAACTATGACAAAATCTTTCTAGGATATAGGTTACCTGAGTTGGGCGACCAGAGCCAAAGGCAAAAAGGACATGGGAAATTTACAACATACTAGGTGAACATGAGGCAAAGATGCAACAACTTGAAGCAGAGGGCAAGTTACCAAAAGCGACACCAAAAGAAGAAGAGTAGAACAAAGTAAAGCTTGGTCCGAGTGGGTTCTATTATGATATATAAATCCAACTATTCTATATTTTTACCCATATGAAATGTACGCCGCTCAGATAACGCCAACAGTTTTGGATGCCATGAACGGAAATGTTCCGAATGGTATAACGAATGCGACAATGCCATTAGAAGGTCAGAAATAGTTCCTGGAACTTACGAATATACAACTGCTGTTTCTTATGGAAATGTAGGTGAGTTTGGAGAAGTTCTTCAACAACAGTAGATATTGCTTGCGACAGGTTTCATATTATTTCTATTGACAACTCATTCTTATACGTGGAACAAGACATTGAAATAAAACCTTCTGCCAAGTTGTCTGACAAGAAAGGTTGCAATGGAATTTTCTATGTCGGATACCAATATGCTCCAGAAGTTTTCATGGGATATAAGATATATTCTAACTCTGACTTAGTTCAAACAGTAACATGGGCAAACTATGAATGGTTCGCTTTGAGAAACTCAGTACAACCACAAGCTAGAGAACAAACAGACCAGTATGCAAATATTGAGAAAATAAGAAGACTTGACCCTAACGTTCCAGGAGTTTATGTTAACCTTTCTGGTTCAGATGGAACTGCTGCCACTAAAGTAAAACTGAAACTTAGAGTTCCTTTGTCATTTCCTCATCTTCAGGTTTTTAAGATACTTGCCAAACTGGGCAGGAAAAATTTCTATCGAACTTACTCCAAGCAAAAATAACTTAGTCATTGCACCAACACAAGACCCATTCAGCATTACTGTAGCTGGAACTGGTGGAGCCAAGTTCTGTGACTTTTGCAAAGACAAAGTTGACTTAGACTTTGGTTTCTCAAACTTCAACAATGAAGTAAACTATTATTTCAATGCTGCTGGAACTGCTTGGGACCCAGTTAAGTTCACATGCGAAAAATTTGAATGCAAGAGAATAGAAAGCAGACTTGCAGTCTATATGTTGGACCCAGATATTTCAAATGCTTTAGCTGCCAAATATATTGCAGTTCCACTTATGTTCCCTATACACCAAATATCTGTCAAAGACTTTGCAGGTGAAGTTGGAAACCAAAGTGCTGACCCAGGTGCAAGAACAGATATTGCTTTAACAACTGCAATGAAACATGCAGATACTATGTTTGTACTGTTCAGACGAACTATAAATGACTATTCTTGTTTCTACAACCCCGGTATTAAATATCATATAAACATAGATGGCAAATATTATCCAAGAAGAATATTCTACAGTTGAGGATATGAGGTCATACAACTTGACATTAGATGCTATGAACTTTAACAACAACTTCACAACAACCATAAACCCTGAAATGCAAAGTTCTATTATGCCATATGTGAAAGTATGGACTCATACAGGAGGTCAAAAAAACTCAATATACAAATGGAGACCGTTCAAACTTTTGGCTTGGCATTCCATTTGCTGACTCAGAAGACTTTATGGGTGGTATTTCAACTGTTGGTACTGTACAAATACAATATACTGGTGACAGAGACGGTCCAGATGAATTGAGAGCAAAGAAGTTTACAAAACCAATAGCACTTTTCACGGAAGATGCTCTTTTGAAGATTCGTTCGATGAAACCTGCTGGGGCCTCCTCAGATTGGCATAACGACAGCTTCCATCGAGCAGATTTTGGCAGCAGGTCAGTAAGTTGTTTCTTGAACTGACTTCTCTCCGTCAAATATTGACAGTACGCCAGTTTTGACATAATATTGTATTATAAACTTTTCTTTAGTAATATCGGTCAGTTTTGAAGTTATATTTTTGTCTGCTTCAAGAACTTTTCACCATTTCAGTTATACCAACTTTCTTTGCTTTATGAAAATATTTTGGTTCAGCAAAGACTGCTATTCTATAACATTTACCATTGTTTGTATAAAGAACTATTCTGTCAATGTATTTGTATTGTTGTGTGTGTAAACTTTGTTCTGCTTCAATTCGAAGAGATACTCGAATACGTCCATCTTTTTATTCTAAGTAAAAATGTCATTTCCGAAAAATAGAAGCGTGAGTGTTTCAAAAGGTTTAATGGCGTGGCAGATGTGAAGTTAAATTCACCAACTCAAACAAACAGTCAAAGTGTTATTGTCAATGTCAAAGACAGAGATGTTGAAGTGGGGAAACCATACGAAGACGAAGATGGTATAACAATTGTTCCTGTAAAAGAACCAACATATCCTGAAGTTTAGCAGAGACTTAAGTTCTGTTGCAGATATTCGAAATGACTACCAACAACTTAAAGACAAACTTCAAACTCAGGAGAAGATTTGTCAAGCTTTAGGTATAATGTTAAACTTGGTCGAACACAACCCTGTAAAAGTGAACTCATATGTCATTGCACCTCATGAAGTTTTGAAAGAACTATTGAAACTTTTGACAGAAGGCAGACGATATAAACATCAAAGAAATAGAACCCGACATTAGTTGCTGTGGTGTTTCATATAATGCCATTGACAAGATATACGTTATGAAAGGAGGTGAAACGTTGAACTTAAAGTATAGTTTCCCAGACGTCATAAAAATATTTGACGACCACAACATTTCATTAAAATTTATTTGCTAAGTAAAATGGCAGAAGACATAATGGTTTATACTATTACGACTAAAAACCCTGAGTCATATAATTCTATAACAACAAACTTACAAAGTCCTCAAGGACGGTATTGTAAACTAACTTTAAACACAATGACGACTAAAGCCTGTTTTGCTCTTTTGACACCAGAAGACTTTATTGTTGTGAATGGTAAAAAATACTCCTTTGAAGATACTTACTCAGATATACCACCAACAGGTTTTGTTGACTTATTTAATACTTTAAGTACGGGTGTAACATGTGCTGCAACTAGAGCAGGTTTCATTATGTTTGGATGTCCGACTGAGTTTACTATAAACGATATGAGCTATAATACAAAACTTATTTCTGGTTTTTACTACCAACAGTTTCCTATAACAGGAAAAGGTGTCATACAAGGTTTGTTATTCCATTGACATTAAGCACACCAATCTTATATATTGTTTCAAACTTAGGTTCAAAGTGTTATTCGAATGTCGACAGAAACTATTATGACCAAAAGATACTTATGCGTATAAACAATACTTTCTCTGCTGGTTTGCCTATTGTTCATTCGAATGCAGAATTTTCAACCTTAGTGAACTCAAACACTTTGGCAAGTATAACGTTGACATTAGTTGACGCAAACTTTGTTCCTGTAAAACTTTTATGTCCTATGTATTTGTCAATGACGGCAGAAAGTTTCGAATTGGAAGATGCAACTGGTGAAAGTATTGTATTACAAGAACAACTTCAACAACAAATAGCTCAAGAACAACAAATGCAACAAATGCAACAACAAAGTCAAGAATAAAAAAATATTTTTTTTATTTTTATAAAAATGTACAGAATAGATGTTTCAGATTTTTATGACTTCCAAGCATTCAGAAATATGTGTCCATTTCGAGACTATAACAAAGCAGTCGAGAATTTGAAACGTTTAGTCATTTATGTCGACTCTGCCCAGAATGTTATGTTATGAAAGAATGGGATGTAGTCTTTAACAAACCAAGAGCAACAATAGTTTCAGAACAAGAATGTAGACAGAAACTTAAGAAAATAAAAGTTGTACAAGTTGGCATGAAGATGTTAGATGCTTGGGATATCTTATTGTCAAAGTTGAAGATTTTTCAGTTCGTGGTATAAAAGTTTTATACACCTTCTCCAAACTTCTATTCTATCTTCACTGGATATAAATACGAACAAGTAGAATGGAAAGAAAATATTATAGAAGCTTGGTTAGACCATGTCAAAGAAATTATATGCAATGGAAACGAAAAGGTTTATGAGTATATCTTATGTTGGTTTGCAAACATCTTACAACATCCAAGTGCTAAGAATGAAACTGCTCTCATTATAATTGGAAAACAAGGAACAGGTAAGAACACATTCTTTACAGATATTTTGTGCAAACTGTTAGAGGGCTATTCGAACCCGAATATGACAAACATAGAAAACATCTGCGGTAAATTTAACTCTTCAATAGAGAATATGAAACTTATAGTTTGCAATGAACTTCAAAGTATAGATACAACAAAAGTTTTAAACTCAGATGCTTTGAAGAGTCTTATAACAGACAAAGTTGGAGTTGTTGAAAGAAAGTATAAAGACCAAAGAGTTTGTGAAAATGTTGCAAACTTCATTATGGTTTCAAACAATGCTGTTCCGATGAAGTTAGAAAGTTCTGACAGAAGATATGTAGTTGTCAGAACGTCAGATTCTCATATGCAAGATACAGAATATTTTGACGACTTAGCAGAAACTTTGACATCTGACTTTTACAACCACTTGTTCTCATATTTTATGACATTAGATATTTCAAGTTCAATCCAAGACAAATTCCACATACCGAAGAGAGACAAACATTGTTAGAAGCAAACAAGAGTGTATATGAACTGTTCATAGATGAAACTGACTTTGTGTCATTAGATGAAAGGTCATTGTACGATTCGTATAAACAATATTGTCAAGAATATGGTTATATGGCAGCTTCTAAACGAACATTCTTGGCAAATGTCAAAAGTCTTTTAGACATACAGAATGGTGTATATACAAAGAAAAATTTTTATGAGTAAATTTAAAAAAAAATATTTTTTTATCCGATAGAAAAGATGGCAAAATTCATCTCAGTAAACAAGTACATGTCAGGACTTAAAGAAGAACTAGACCCATTCACATATTTGAATGTTTACTTCTACCATTTTGAAAAGTCTTCATTCAGCAAAGTTTGGAACATCGAACCAGTTAAGTTTGCTATTGTGACTAAAAATGGTGCGAAATTTGAAGACTTAGACATAGAAGGTTTGTTAGCAGTCAAAGAAAGTTTTGACAGAAGGTTCTCAAACCTTAAAGAAGGCAAAGCATACAAACTTGTTATACCTTATGAACCAAAGAAAGCAGACGACTATGAATATTATGAGTCTAAGATAGTTGAAGTTCAAGGTAAATTGGGTAAAAAGATTTTAGAGTCTAAAGCCAGTGTTTGCTCCTAAAGAGGAAGAGAACATTGACATTGACCCAGAAATGTTCTAAAAATAAAATTTTATTTTTACATGTCAAATTTCTTTTTCTCTGGAACTGGTTCAGGTTCTTTCTTCTCTTCTTCTACTTTCTTTTCTTTCTTTTCTCTCTTCTTCTTTTCTGGTGGAGTTATGTCAAATTTGGCGCAACCATATTTATGTAAAAAGTTCTTTGTCCTTTAATAGCTCATCTATTCTGTTTTCTATTTCATCTTCAAGAACAGCGCATGTGTCTTCTTTGCATTCTAAGAAACTTTTGTTGGACTTCATCTTTCCAAGAGGCGTTCATCTCTGTCAACAAGTCTGTCATTGACAAATTTTAAGACTGCTCTGCTTAATGTTTTATGGTTCTTGTCATATTCCCAGAAACAGAACTTTAGAACAAATTCACCTTTCTTGTTTACACTATGTAAGATTTTTATGGTCGACAGATGTTTTGCTGGTCGAAAAGCTTGTCTCGAATATAGATAGCGAAATCGCTAGACATTTTCTAAAAGATAAAAATTTTAATTTTTTCTAAAAAATATGTTTAGAAAAAAAAGTTTGCTGACATTGACAAAAAATTTGAGAATGTTTTAAACAAGAACAAGAGGAAGTTAGAAAATGCTCAGATAAAGCCTATACATGACAAGTTCTTATTTGCTCAGAATGGTATAACAGGTCTAATTGCACCACCTGGGTCGGGTAAGACTTTCACTTATCTTAAAATGGCTGCACAACAACAAGAACTAGATGAGAAGAACCCATTCTATGAGTTAGTTGTTATTTGTAGTACTTCTGGTCAATTTGACCAAACCGTCAATTCGTTCAAAGATATTATAAAGAAGTCTAAGTTAGTATGTATAAAGGATACTGAGTTGTTTAGATTGGATAAAGAAGTACCAAAGAAGAGTTTGAAGTATAATGCTATAAATAGTATAATAAATTCTAAGTTTAAAGACCCAAATGAGGAAATGCAGAGAAATTAGAGAAGAAACACTTCAGAAACAAACAGAAAGAGATAGAATACATTTCGAAGAAATTGCAATCTTACGATTGGAAGACTTACCCTCATAGATGTCTTCTTATCTTAGATGATTTCGCCTCTCATCCTTTGTTAAAGAACAGAGAACAAGATATGTGTCGAATTCTTAAGAAGCTCAGACACTTTAACATCTCAGTTGTCATTTGTGTACAGACAGCAAAGAGTTTAAGTAAGGATGTAAAGAGAATACTTACTGACATTATACTTTTCCCCGGATTGTCCGAAGACGATTTCATGGAACTTATGAAAGAGTCCATGGCAGGTAAGTTTGACAGACATGAACTATGGGAGAAGTACAAAGTCATACAAGACCCTCATACTTCTTTCAGAATTCATATCTACGCGAACAAAGTTCAAATTGTAAAAAGTCAAGCTTGAAAAATAAATGGTTCATTTACCCTACTTGTTTGAAGTTGTCAAAATACTCTGTTATTTTTCACTGTTTTCATAGAGTTTTGGCGACTGGGGTTTCTTCCCTACTCGCTGTGCTTCATGATTTTCATGTGTTTTATGCAAGGCCGATAAAAGTCGGTCTAGAGAAATTTCACTGTTTTCGTACGGAATTCAGCAAAAATATATTTTAGGGTAGAAGGTTAGATCTAACCTGTTTTCTAACCTCTTTTCTACCCCAGTTATTTTATAAGCGTTTTACATGGTAAACGTTATTTTTTAAATTTTGTGAAAACTCAACGGTTTGACACATGCCCTAAAAATTATTTTACTCAGAATTTTGTTGCTGAATTCAATAAAAATATATTTTAGGGTAGAAGGTTAGATCTAACCTGTTTTCTAACCTCTTTTCTACCCCAGTTATTTTATAAGCGTTTTACATGGTAAACGTTATGAATTCGTGAGACTTTAAACAGTTTTGTAGCTTCTATTTCTTCTTTTAGTACATCGAATGTTTTAACTATGCCGAAGGTTTCTTTATACTTCTTCTTGACGTCAGATAGAAGGAAATCGTCAGCAGTTGGATAGTTTTTGTTCAGAAATGCTAACATGTCCATTTTATTTTCTGCTGGTTTCTCTGCTTCTTTCTTTAAATCTGCATAGTCGTTTCTCATTCTTTCTATCTCTTTGACGGAGTAGTTATATCTCCTCATTGCTGCTTTACATTTTGAACATTGCGGGTTCATTTTTGCGTTATATTCTGAAACCTTACCTGCTAAAACAACTAAAGCGTCAATTGCTCTCTTCATCTCAAACATAGCGGGTCTTATTTGTTCATTCCATATTTTACATCTTTTATCTTTATCTCTTATCTGCCATACACATTTTGCAACTAATGTAACAAAGTTGTCGTAGGTCTTAAATTCTTCAGATTTATATATGTCAGAAACATTCTTATATACCATGTCGCAATCTTTGTCCATAACTTTATGGTTGCAATGAAAACCAAGGAATTCATAATTTACCTTTCGTATGAACTTCTTTATTTCTACTGAGTCAGTTGCTTTGACTTCAATTTCGTCGAATTCAGGAATAGTGAGTTTTTGTTGTTGGATTTCAGGTAGTTTAGGCAAATGGTCAATAATGTCCTCCATTTCATAAAGATACTGTTCATTTGTTTCATCCTGTGCGGTACAGTCTAAATTACTTGTTAAAGGTTCTTGCTTTATCTTCTGGATTTCTGTTTCAAAAGTATATGAAGAAGGAATAAAGCTTTTCATTTCTACTAACATTGAAGTTGGGTTCATGACTAACGAGTTTGGTGCTGTTGTTGCTAACATGTTCTTACAATAAAAATAAAAAATATTTTTTTAAAAAAACTAACTTTATTTTTTATTTCGGGAAAATTCATGAAAATTCAAGAGGGTAGAAAACAGGTTAGAAAACAGGTTAGATCTAACCTTCTACCCGACATTCTCGTCAAATACAAAAAAATGACACTTTTTCATTAGATAACCCCTGAAATCATATCTTACATACAAAAAAATACAAAAAAACTAACTTTATTTTTTCTATCTTAAGGAAATTCATGAAAATTCAAGAGGGTAGAAAAGAGGTTAGAAAAGAGGTTAGATCTAACCTTCTACCCTAAATTATATTTTTGCTGAATTCAGCAACAAAGTTCAAATTGTAAAAAGTCAAGCTTGAAAAATCTAAGTGTTTAGTCTTAGTAAGATGGTAGCTTCTTAAAGCATATGCCGTCCTTGAGTTTTAGGTACGTGAAGAGAAGTACAATGAATTCAATTACGAGTACAATTGCAATGACAACTAAGGCAACTATTTTTGTCTTTTGCCAGCAAGGGTACTTCTTCTCTTCCAATGGTTCGGCAGAACTATACTCACTCATGAGAAATGCCAAAACGGTTTAATAGAAAAAGTGTCATTTTTTCATGTCCGAAGACTCGAAGGTGCAACACTTCCAAAATACCGACGAACTCAGAAGAGCAGCATGGCAGTATGTTCTTGACAACTTCTTTGAGTTCTCCAGGAACACCTTGGAAAATGCTGAAGAACTCCGACACAGAGAATTTGGAGAAATTGCACTCCAATACTACCTTGACAAACAAAGGGTAAACAAAGGGTAAACAAAGGGTAAAATAAGACTAAAAACTTAACGTTTAAAAAGTGACATTTTTAATGAGCTCCGAGTCACCGAGAAAACTTGGTCAGATGTTAGCAGCTTACTTCCCTGAGGAGGATGGAAGCGTTACATACGTAAGGTTCAAAAACAACGAACCTGGAATTGCGTACCAAATTCGCAATTACATGACCATGGAAGAGTACGAAAGGTTTCTACAAGAGAAACCAGCTCTAAACAACTCAGAAAAGAAAGAGTAAAAAGTTTAACTCGTAATTGTTTATTTTTTTACTTGTATGGGCAAGCTGCAAGTATGAAGTCGACTACTCCGTCTTTGTTTGACGAGCTGGACGGCTCTTGCGAGTACGTCTGTTTTGCGGTCTCCAGCTGGTGTCTGACCTTCGTAATTGCGCATGTTCTTGAGAGCTCCAACTGTAAATGATTGTAGGATGAAGAGTCTCTCAGACTGCTTGAGGTAGTCTTCACGGTCACGAACCGAATCTGTGGTACGAGTCGAATCGGTCGATTTGAGGGAAGAGACTGAAAGCCTGTCGTCTTCCATAGGGGCTGTGGCATAATCTTTGCGTAAACGGTTCAGACCTTCTTCGAACTCTTGGTCTCTCTTCGATTGGGATTGAGATTGGAATTGCTGGGGTGAGCTTGCTGGAAATCCAAGGTTGGGAAGTAAGGCATAGGCTGAGGAGTAGTTCGGGAAGCCTTGTAGTGGAAATTGTGTAGTAACCTTGAGGTGGAAATTGGGTAGTAATTGGTGGAGGTACTTTGCTGGAACTGAGGTGCAGGCTGTGCTTTAGGTTCCTCTGGTTTGGAATGGACTCAGTTGGGGACGTCGGACATTCGTTGTGCTTAACCGTCGGACCACAACGATAAAAATCTGCTGACTAGCAGTTACTTCTACTGACAGTAGAAGTACTTTTACTGACAGTTAGAAGTACTTTATACTGACAGTAGAATACTTTTACTGACAGTTAGAAGTACTTTATCGTCAAAACCCTCTCAAATTTTCCTTTTTACTGACGGTAGAAGTACTTTTACTGACAGTAGAAGTACTTTTACTGACAGTAGAAGTACTTTTACTGACAGTAGCAGTACTTTTTCTGACAGTAGAAGTACTTTTACTGACAGTAGCAACTTTTTCTGACAGTAGCAATGGTCGAGGTCGAACCTACGACGAGGCAATTTACCTAATTGAAATTAACGAGCTGTAAAGACTTCCTCAGGCAGAATGTAAAAGGCAAGCTTGTTAGCGGTTGGATAACGGAAGGGCTGCCTTGAATCTCGAGACTTCGACTGGAATTCCAATTCAAATACCAACGGACAGCTACGATGGCATAAAGCAAGCAAAAAAGAAGCTCTCTCAAGTTCTTTGCAAAGCGTCCTTGGATACAACTTCCAAACAAGAGAAACCCTTTCCCAAGAATGAGCCAAATTCTCAAGGGTCTCCTTCACTTCTCGGGTCAGCCGTTCTACATAACCTGTGAAGCGACATCCAACCAGTTCAGTAAACCTTAACGTTTAGAGTAAAAACATTTTTTTCATTTTTTGAATGAAGCAAGTTAAATTCGTCCCAACCCAATCTCAATGGACCGATGAAGAGTTTCAAGCCATGGTTGAAGGCGTTGAGAACACATAGACGGCGAACTTGAAGGAGCTCAAACCACAATTGCAACCAAAATTGCAGGAGTCAAGGAACAGATAGCTCCACTTAAAGCTACCAAAGCTACTCTTGACTCATGGATAGTTACCGTTTAGATGTCAAGAGTGGAATAAGACAATTAAAATTAAAACTTCTAAACTACGAAGCTATACTCCAAAAGTTAGCAGAAATGAGAAGATTTACCAAGCTACTTACATGTAAGGGACTTACCTTCAAGCAGTCCGACCAAAGATGAATTTGTTGACATTGTCCAATTTTGTCCGAAAGTCAGCTCAGATGTTTTTGAACTGCTCCCAACATATCCAGAATATGAACGTTTGCCTGAACTCTTCCGCAATCTCAAAAAAACGTTTTTTTTCTCATGTTCGAAACTTTTATCGGAAGAGACAACAAACTTCAGAAGAAGAACAATATATTATTTTAAACTTGTTGTATGACATAACTGTCATAACAAGCTTTTTGAAGTAAAACCGCCATTCTCAAACCACTTCATTTTTTCGATGTCCGAACAAGCACCGAAGCCGAACACAATAGCAGATGTCCTTTCAAGGTTGCCAGACAAGCGCCCAGTTCAAATTCAAATTGCCCAATTGAAAGCTCATCTGACAAAACACCATTAAGACTCTCCAAAGTAGTCTTATGACAGAGATGACCAATCTCAAAGTCGAAGTCCTCACGAACCAAGCTTCCAATGAGAAATGCCTGAACGATTTCACGGAAACCTTGCACATTTACGCGAGAGAACCGAGACCTTGCCAGACTCATCTACCGTTTCTTCGAAGAATAGACGCCATCTGGAAGGTACTCGAAAGGACAGAACATGCAACACCGTACTTCGTGAACACAGAATTGCCGAAGTATTATCAAAGAAGAGGAAGAAGAGAAGAAGAGAAGAAGAGGAAGAAGAGGAAGAAGAGAAACACAAAGAAGAGGAAGTTTGGGCAACCCTTGTTGCCGATGACGCTTACGAAATTTCCCAACCCTACCCATACCAAATCCGCAACAAAGAGACAGGCAATTCTTACCCAGTCCTCAACAACTTGGGACACTTGAACCTTAACCTTCGGAATCGCGGTTCAATCTCCATGGCAAGCTTGTCGCAATTCAATGGGTTCCAAATCCAGGCAAGAAGACGAGGGTCAGACACATTGACGTGACAAGCTCAACAACCGTAAGGAGAACCTCGAGTGGTTCTAAGAGTAAAAAAATTTTATTTTAGGGGAAACCCCAAGTAAATTTAGGTGTTTATTTGGATAAGTATGTTAAATTAAGGGTAATTTGCAAAAATTAGTTCCCGACCTTTGAATTGGCTCTTTCGTTATCCCAGTTGCGTAGGAGGTCGTCCCAGAGGAGTTGGTAGAATTGCCAATCCAAGGACGATTTGTCCTCCCAGGCATTGAGGATGTACTGCTCGTAGAGTTTCATGACCTCTGCTTGCACCAGACACCCTCTCCCTTGGAACGTAAGGCTTCTTCGAAGTGCTCGAATGCGATTGGCTGCGTGACCATCCGAAATGACACTTTTTGTCCGTTTGTCAATTCGTGTCTCGTGCCATAGTCGACGAAAATACAGACAAACAGGTTATATATGAGTTTGAGACCAAGAATGGTGTAACTCGACCTGTCCGATTCAAAGACTCCGAGGGCGACCATGAAATTAAACGGAAATTAGCTAGGAAGAATATAAAATGACTGGTTGCCACCACCTCCACCTCCACCACCTTTACCTGTTCCTCAAGTAAATAAGCCTTTCCCGTTCCCAAGAATTCCCACATTTTAATTCAAATTCGAATAAAAATTTTTTATTTCATGCAATGTTTTATTTCTGTGCCGTCTTCAAGTATGCCCCAGTACTTACGCTTGGAGAGGACATGAACTTCGGTGAAAATTTTGTCCAATTTGAATTGACCCATCTTTTCACCGACCATGCCCATTTCAATGAGTTGTTATAGCCTTCTTCGTTCGTCATGAGTGCGTCAATGTTCTCATAGTAAACCTTCACTTTGGATTTGACTTCGGAGAAGAATTTGTTGTAGTTGTCAAGGACTGCCTTTGCGAACTGAGGGTAAGACCAATGTTCGACAATAGGTTTTAATGTGGTTACTAAGCCACTTTGACCTTGAGTGAATTCGTACTTCAAAACAAAAGGAGAAAACCTTTCAACAAAGTTGT